CCAAAGCATGGCGATTGGGTGCGTTTTCGCGAATTGGCTAGCAGCGCGGGATAATTCGCACCATGGTAAATTAGTGTTGGGTACGAAACTAGAACAATGAACATTGAAGTACAGAACAACGGGGTCGAGAGCGCCATCCGTCTCGGGTTCCAAGTACCGCAACATGACATGGTCTGGCTTCCTTTATTTGAAATGCATGGCGAGATGCAGATGACTGGACTCTAGACTCAGGAGACCTTCGTGCGACTGGTGGATATTGCAAGTGTTGGCCGGCTGCCCGAATAGGCATCCCATGTTTTTTTCCCCTCCTTCTATTTTGTTATCGCGCCTCTTCCCGCTGGCGTGGTCAACGGCGGGCATATGAGACGAGATTGTGCTTTGATACCTAGGCGGTCCATCCATACTGCGGCAGCTATTTTGATAATGGCTGTTTTGATGAAATGAGGGGACGTCTGGGGTTGAAAGGGGGGAGGAGTGTTGGCGCGACGAGCAGCCAAAAACGGTTCAAGAAGAGCACGGATGGTGGCTTCACAGACGGATTCCGCTGTCAGGTCCTTCAGTTTCGAGCAAGCCTGTCCAGAAGCAGACTTTGGGTATGGGGCATGGGGCGATGCATCAATCTGGCATGATGATATTCTGGGGGTTAAATGAGTTGATCGTTGGCGATGAACCGATGAAATTGCACGTCGCATACCGATGCGCGTATGCCCCCAGATGCCCCAGATGGCGAGATGACAATCGGCAGCTCGTTCTTTTTTTGATATCCAGATTCAAGGATGACACTGACGCGTGCCCAGTTAAAAAGGCTGTGGACTGTGTAACCGTGGTTCAGCATCCGAGGTCCCCATTGCATCCAGCAATATCCGGACGGGCCTTCAGGGCAGAACGGGTAGTGTCCGTATTTGACTGCAGGGTTGGTCCTTTGGCACAGCCTGCCAAGATCCAGGAGGAGGAAACGATGGAGGCCACAGACCAAGGGGCAGAGGGGCCAAGCCAAGAGAAGGATGTGCCGTCCATCCATCACCGTATCAGTCCCCTTGACGGAGCCTTGTCACCGTCGTCGTCGACGTTCTCTTGTCTCGAGATTCGGACCCTTTAATCAAGGTTGTCGGTCTAATGCTTCAGAGTGCGAGATGGACACGCAAGCAGAACGAGCAAAGGAGCCCCAGCGTGTTTGTACAACGTCTGGCTATACTAGTACTTCGCGAGGTTCTCTAGCGGACGAGCTGATGGCGATGTCGTGTCGAGTGTTTCTTCGTGTCAGTCTCGCGCGTCTCATCCATCTTGATATGACGTGTTTGTCGGCCAGGTTCCGCCATAGGACCCAAGAGGCGATACACATGCTTGGCCGGCGCACATCATTTTCCGAGTCAGGTATTCGAGGCTCAACAACGCTGCGGGTGTGGTACCAAAGTACTCTGGCACTTGTAGGTATCTGCAAAGGGACAAGAGCCAAGATCTGAAGCTTGACGTGATCTGCAGCGGCCCTTTGGTATCTTGACTCTTGACACACCAGGGGCCTCGGGAATACTTACGAGGCAGACGATCAACAAAGGCGACGACGGACGGGAATACTCCTTACGGGTAGAGGCGTCGATTGGCCAAATAACAAACAATAACCTGCGAGATTCTAGCCTGCGTTTGGTTGAAAAGTAAAGACCTTATTCTCGAAGAAACAGACAGCGGGAGCCAGTGACTAGAGAAATGCAGCAGGTTGGCGTGTCATTGGCGGGCTGAAGACGGAGATAATCTGGCAGGCGAGACAAATGTACCGAGTTGGAGCCTTTGGACGAGAAACCTGAAGGAGAGACGCTCACCTCACTCGGTGAGATGAAAGACGGTGTTAGATGGCGTAGACGGTAATTTGGGACGGTGGGTGACAGACTGACGGTACAGTCGGTGTGTCAGTGTCAAAAGTGGAAGGAACCCCCCATCTTTTGGATGGAGACATTGGTGGAACCGAGGTGGACTGGTGGTGCAGCCCTGCAAATTAGGGGACCGCAAGTGCAAAACAACAAGAAGGTAAGTGCAGGTACATCGAGTACGTATCTGTCGCTCCAAGCCTTGTAGAGCAAGGTAAGTATCGAACCTCCCGCTGCCTTCCATCCTCAGCGAGTTCTCACACCTCACGGCAGGTCACCTTCCATTCGCCGTCAGCCGGTCTCGTAAAGCAAAGTACCTGCGTACTCCGTACCTCTCATCCGTATCTCGTCCAGTCCTGAACGCCGTATCCGAATTTAGGTAGTTACGAACCGTCTTGCCTCGGTCATGGTCACCCGGGCCTGGCCTCAAAGTCCATTTCGCTTCGTTATCTCGACGGAAGACGGCCGACCCGAGAAATCCACGCCTGGTCCGCCCGAGGCGCCGTGTCTTCCTTTTCCCCATCTTGTTTCTCAAAAATCCCCTCAGCAAAAAATACAAGAGATGGGATCGTGTTGAAGGGCCTGGTTAGTCTTCTGCCTTTTCTGCCTGCCATGGCCGAAGCGACGCCGCGACCTGCCTTCTAGGGTGCCTGACTCCCGCCTGAGGAGGCAACCTGCAGCCTGCAATGTGCCAGTGCCCTCCCCCCGAGCCCTGTCTTGCCTGGTGGCCATGCACCCCAAGGTTTCCCCTCCGTGTACTTGTAAGAGGTGAGAGGGTCGACATGTACATCTGCAGATCATGGCAGTGTAAAGGTACTTTGGCCTTCAGCCACGGACGGCCGCCCTGGTGCTGACAGGAACGGACGTATTCCGTTCTCGGCGTGTACGGATACTTGCCCAGGGCTCACAGTAAATTGTTATCCGCGTCATTACTCGCCGCCGGTCCCAGGTTTTGAGTGCTGTATCATCGCTGCAATCCTCGGCCGTGTCATGGGCTCATTCATGGCTCAATGGTTGAATACCAAGTACGTAGTCCGGCACTCGACTCCCATCAGGATGTGCTTGTCGCTGTCATTCTGTCATTTTATCTTCGCCTCCCGTCAGCTCTGATCTAATACCGCCCGGTCGTGCTGCGGTCCTATTCCATGATAGCCGCCAGATAAGGCACGGATAAGAAGGCCGGGAATGACACAAGATTACAGATAATCTTGTATTCGCAAAGGTCAGCTCCTGTAGGTACCTAGCTACTCCGCCTTTTCGCCATCATCATCCATGATACTACCTTGCGCAGTGCCTTGGTATATCTTGCGCTACGGATACCCGCTCTTTGCCTTGTCCTATATTCTTCCGTTTCGAACGGATCCCGGGGCCCTCGGCAGAAAGAAGGAACACCAAAGTGCAGGGAGTGATGGGATTTGCCAGACATTCGATCGATACAGATATACCAATCTCAGATCTATAGGTAAAATCACGACCTGCACCGAATTAGCGCTGTCTTTCGTGTATTCTCTCGGCAATATGCCTCAGCTGCCCAATGTCTCTAGATGTATTGGTTCCTCACGCACGGCCAATGTCATTCACGGATATTCCAAAGTGTTCAGCTGCCGGGCAAAGAAACACCGTAGTACCTACGGACAGTGTAGACTTTCGAACCCCCTCCCCCAATCGCATCGTCGTGGTCCACGATCCAGGCCATCTAGGCTGCCCAGGCCATCCAGAAGCAGGCTGCACATTTCGAGGTTGCAAATACCCCAAGAGTCCAGACCTCTCTAATGGTCCATCTAAGCTCCTATGGTAGCCTTCATTCCGGACACCGACACGTCGGCAGTCGAGATTACCCCAAGCCATCTCACGGAGCAAAGCTTGCAACGGGCTAGAGTTACAGCCACGTCGCCGACTTGGACGGAGCGAAGGAGTCCAGCAATAAGGTAGTTGAATCATCACGACCGAAGCCGGTGGTATCATGAAAGTACCTACGCTTCCACTTCCGGAACCCCCCGCACCAACACCATCAACATCGGGCACCACCAGTCTGATTCCTCCGACTCTGACTCTTTTCTTCTGACGGGACCTGGAGTCTTCAAGTCTAACAAGACCTTCACCCACAAAACTCAGACCCGACACTTCGCGGCCTTGCTGAGCCGAAACAAGGCCGCATCAGCAGTCTCAATACTCGGTATCGGCCTCGCCATCAGCACCAATACCATCGTCTCGGCATCAGCAAACCACCGCAGTGTGGCACTCGTGCATCAAATGGACCAATACTCTGTAAGGTGTAGGTAGTCTGCACTCCGTACACCGTACCCAATCCAATATCAGGCTCACGCACCTCACCTCACCTCACCTCACCTCAGACTCTCTCTCAGTCAGCCTGCCCTCCGACTATTGACTATTGAATGCGACCCCCCTGCCTCCGCCATTCCGACTTGCTGGGCAGAAGGAACAAGATTTGAGACAAGAGTCACCGAGAAGACGCGTCTTCAGCTGAGAGGTGAAGCCAGCCGACCACGTAGGACCTACCTACCAGTGCCAGCACACAGCAGCTGCCACTGAAGCTGCACAGTCCCTTTGGTCCTGACCTGGGCAGCTGGGCTGAACTCGTCCCGATGTGTGTCCAGCTCCCCGGACTTTCGCGTTAGGCTCTCTCTGGCCTCTGCCTTGCTTCCATTTCGGTGAGGTGTGGGTGAGTTACTTACTTCCATTTGCTAGGTGCGTGTCCTCATTTAAACGGACCTGGAAGTCATTAGCGAAAGACCACCGTACCGTTTTGCTCTCCGTTTTCCGTTTCTCCCCCTTGCGCCCTCGCCCGTTCCTTCCACCCCTGCCCGCGGTTGCCCTACCTTACCTTACTCGGTCTCCACCAGGAAGGGGGTCGCCCACTTCCTTCCCACTCTGCACAGACCGGGAAGTCCACCCCTGCCCCCTCCTTCTCACAAGTTCACACATGTCACTCCGTCTCCTTCCCCCTTCCTTCCCACACCCACACACAGCAGGTTCGGTACCTACGGTGCTCCTTCCCGCCACGCGAGGCCAACCTGAAAATAATACGGGGAAAGGACCGCACCCTCGCACTTGCTGCCTTGCAGCCCACAATCCCATAATCCATAATAACCCAGCCTTCACCCGCATCCATCCATCGTGACGGCCTCCTCCCGATTCTCTTTCTATTTTATTCCGCGACTCTGACATTCCGCCATACCGCAGTGACCGAACTTTCAAAGGGCCTCGACGATCTCACAATAAGCCTCTTCCGCCGCCTCATACAAGTCTACACACACATACGCCTCTACTCACTACCGCTTCTCCGATCCGCCCTCTACTCGATCCAGCCCACACCGTCTAGTGCTGTCTCGCCCTGCCTCATTCTCACCGGCAACCGAACAAAGGAAAACGAACATTTCCTACTCTGCCAGTAAATTCTTTTACTGGACCCTTGGATATCCGAACGCCCGCCCGCCTGGATTCTTTGTCGCTTTCGTCGATATTTCCAGCACACCCTCCCGTCATCCCGAATTCCAAGGTCCAGACTTCCCTGCTCTCTGCCACCCCGTCCCAGCTATAACTCCAGGGTCCCTGTCTTGGAGGCTTAAATAACTCCCGCTGCGTCCCCGGCTTTTTCAAAACACCACCAGCCAAGCAACTCATCTACGCGAAAACCAGTATCACGCGTCATTTATCTCACGCCAACACAAACCACAACCATAAAAAACCCGCGCATTCCATCCCATCTTGCATTCCTACCCGCCTTCCAGTCCACAAGTAGCCGCCACTATCAGACTATAAACAAAATGTCACCAGCACAAGACCAATATTACTACGTTGTTCCCAACGCCAGCGCCATGGATCCCAACGCTAGAGAATTTGACCTCGCTTCACAAGGCTGGATCCAAGCCACCATCATCGAAGATGACGATCTCATGTTTGGCGGCAAGTCTTTGAGCACCTGGTATGAGGAGGAGAGGAGACGCCTGAGCAACGGTTCCTCGGACGAGGAGGAGCACCGCGGTCGCCAACGGGTAAGTCACAATGCCTCGTGAAGCCTGCTCGCGACACGCCACTGACTTTTCCAAGGTCCGCAAGCACCACTCTTCTCACAAGCATCATCACCACTCCTCGAAGCAGCACTCTGCCAGCTCCGACAAGAAGCACTAAGCGCGCCCTCTTTCAGCTCTCTATCTCTTTTGGTATAGACCGCCATCACCGCGATACCCTTTGCGAGCGCTTGAATTTCATACCCCTTTCACGTCGACTCTGTTATCCAGCATGGATACCTGTGTCGACTTTCTCGCCTCCCTTCCTCACCTCAATACCCTCCTCTGTGTGGCATTGGGTACACTGGCGTTTGTTTTTATCAGCGTTGCATGTTTCGGCTGGGTCACTAGAACGGCTTCATGTCCAAAGAGAGGACAGCAACCAGCATGGGAAATCACGGGAGCCAAAGCAGAAATCCGCATTTCTCCGGCACCACCTTTCGTTTTAATTGTTATTGCATTGATCGCAACGGCCTGCGATAGCGTCATGATTCGCATCTAGATGGTTTTGGGGCATCATCACCAGACACTCTCTGACTCGAACGTCGAGAGCTGACTTGTTATTTTGCATGAGTGGATAAAGTCAACTCGGGGGATTTGTGCAGCGGAGGCATCATACACGTACTGTACCCCGTTGCGGGACGGCGTGGCTACAGGTTAGCAAGATAAGACTGTTGCGAGGCAACGAAGGCGAGCAGTGGAGCTTCATCTTGGGCTGAGTAGCGGTGAGAGCTGCGCCTCGGCTCAGAGCATGGGGCCCACGAGAATGAATACAAATCAGTTAAAGTATATCTTTGTGCCCATCTCATGATACAGTGAGTGATACAGCGAAAACGGCCCTTTGTAATGCGTCTGAGTCCTTGATGGTCATAACCGCCAACAATGCACAGCAGTGCTCCCCCGCTCAACAGTTGAGGCACATGCATAGCCATAGTAGAATCCAACAGACGGGTTCCGTCAGTGGTGTTCCTCTGCAGGTCCAGCGCCGGAACAGAGAATTGAGCCTACCTTACCTTAGTCGAGCTGCAGCCGCCTCGCCCGCAGTGCAAGTTTAGGCTTGTGTCCCGGACTCCAGAAGCCCCAGAGACGACAGAGTCTGGGAGAGCAGCGTTGCATGCACACACATGCATGCGCGCTACGGATAACTAGTGTCCTTCTGTCTGCCGCGATTTCTTCTTCTGCGCGGGATGAAGGCCCTGGTCGTGTGCGGGTTACTGCCCGTGGTTTCGGGTACGGCCGGCGGCTGGTGCCGGGGGGGCATACTGGGGGCGCCAGAGTGCCAGAGTGGGAGAGCGCCAGTGGCAGATGGGGGTCAGAGCCTGACTCGGGGACGGCTGGGTGGGTGTGTTCTTGACTCTTGTCGTTCCGTTTTCTCTTCCATTTCTTTGTGTGTTTGAATCTTCTTTAGGTGTCCGGCATCGGCGAAGTCGGCATTGAAAAAGTTTTATGAGATTGAAGATGGTGTGAGGGATGGATTGGGCAATGCCGAATGCCGTAACTCGATGTCGGCGAGTGACTGCCACCAGAGACGTGAGTGCGGACAGTCGTCTCGATGGACTTGTTGGCGAGTGGCTTAGTTTGCCAAAGCTGTTGGCCCTTTTAACATCAACGTCGTGGTCTACATATGTAGTGACTTATGGTGTGTGGCTCTGATAGCCGCGATGTTGTCGTCTTGGTACGAGCTTACGCCTCAATACTTGAGTAATGTGCGCTGCGCCCAAGTTTACATCGAATGGATAGACCTGGCCCCAAGATGTCATCGTTTCTTGCAGTGTCAGGCAACTTCGTCTTCCTACTGAGGCAGGTTTGATCTTGACTGATCACGTAACATAACTTTAAAAGTTGTCTTCGAGTCGAGCCCCAAGGGTTCTCCCCACTACCACCTTAAGCTTAACTTCATGCCTCCTTTCGTGCAATGTGACCAAGCCCCCGCACAGCTCCAAAGGTGTGGTCACAGACCATGAAGACTACGAGTGACCTCCGGTCGTGAAGTTCAAAACTATTCTCTGGTGATAACTCCACGCCCGCCAGAACGGACTACAACAGGACGTATCACAGACTTGCACCTCTGCTTAACCCCTGGTATCTCGAGGAAATACTGCCCTCATCATTCTCGCGGCTGTGGCATTGGCTCGCGCAATAGCTGCGCAGACCAACATGGGCCGGAAGCGAACTATTTGAGGCCCATGTTCTGACCTCGGCAGCACCAAACTCATCCAATGCGCGAACTTGACGACGCCAAGCCGGGATCCAACAAGACTCTTGAATTGCAAATCTTTCGTCTTCTGGCTGCACACCAGCATGCTTCGGGAAGCATGATATACAAATTTGGTGGGCTGGGCGCATGTGGACGGACAAAATTGGCTAGCAGGCCGAGAAGCATGGGGGAGAGATCACTTGAAGATCACTTGATAACTTTACATGAGGACACAAGGTCATGTCCAGAAATGCGGTCTGCTTTACTGACCTGGTGTTGTTCCAAGACTATGAGCTATCATCACGACCTCGTAACATGCGGTTCGCTTTTATCAAGAGTCTTGCCGGCTTCACCGTGGCAGCAATACGTGGACTAATGTATGGCATATCACCATACTAGAATACTGTCCTAACCAATGCACCGATCCGTCACGCCCTCGCTAAAAGCCATAGAAGCATGCCAGATACTATCATTAGGCCTATGACGCAGGGCGGAAGTTCACCGAGGCAAACTGCTGTTAAGATCAAAAGGATGAAACACTGAAGTCTGCCTCCTTACTACCTAGACATGTACTGCCTGCGCAGTATATATATCCGGGCTACTCCTTGGTTGCTTGAGCCTCTACTATTCCTCAATGATATCCAGCCGGAAAGACTCTGATAAATACTCCGTCAGAAGATTTTTCAGATACTTTAGTGGCCTCAATGGCTATCTCATTCTGCTCTTCAGTGGTATCATCATGGACTATTCCCAGCCAAGTAGCAGTACTCTGACAACTTCAACGTAACATAATACAGCCAGTACGGTTCATCAGCAACACGGTTTTCCTGGTCATGTCACTCGACGCGGCGCGAACTGAGTGTTCTAGATTCTAGGGTAGTGTTGTGCTAATTGAAAATGAAAGTCGAATCAAGTTGCGAACTTCGAGATATCCAGACGGTGGTGCTCTAGGGCATTTGAGCTGGCTTTCTAAGCCGCAACTCCGGCCATGGACACGCACCCAGCTTATTGGATTTCTTCATCGCGATGCTTTCGTGAATCCGGGCAGGCTAGTTCGGGCAGTCAACCTGAGAGATTCTGGCCCAGAGCTTCAGGAGGACACATGCACGAACAAGAACTACGATACGAGCAACTGCTAGAATGACTGAAAACTACTTGGTAGCTTTTATTTCGAACTAAGATACTGATAGCTATCCGCTATTAAAGACTGGCATCCCTCAATGCGCTACACGCGAGCGCTAGACGCCCAACTCGGACTCTCTTGCAGACAACCACCAGATGCCTATGGATTACAAGCCGATCTCTCGCAGTAGCCGGATCGGTGCTCGTATGCCAGTACAGGCACGTCTGTGCAGGGGTGGCCCGCCTTCTTCCGGGCGCATGGCTGTCTCGCAAGCTTTCTCTCCTTGTGGTTGGTGCCGCACCTGACGCAGTGGTACCGAACGTAGGGTCGGGTGCACATCTTTGCGAATGTTGTCAGTGACGTTCTGGTAATGGTGATGGTGGCAGATGAGTATTGTGTTTGTTTTCGATTTTGTTGCTTTTGGGTTCTTGTCGAAGTTGGCAGTGATGACAGTTTGTCTTGTAGTTTGCTTGGTTGAAAGTGTGTGGTTTGAGGAGCAGACGTATTTTCTGGTTTCGAAGCAATGCGAATCGACCCTTTTATATAATTTCAAAGACAAGAAGTGAATCATGTTGTCCGGTACTCGAGATATCGTGGCTTATGGTACTTGGGAAGGTGAATCAGTCAACTTCCTTCCGAACCCTTTGAACCCTGATGTGACGCCGAGTCGCTGCTTCTTCCTAAAATCTGAATCGGTCACCAAAAGACACAGAACCATGATGCGGGCAACTGTCAGTTTGATTGAAAAAGGTGATTTATCTTTCACGAAACTGCTCCGTCACTATGAGCTACCCGTTGCTTGTTATTGGCATCCGTCGCTGGGCTGGCTATGAACTCGTTGGACATACAACCAGGTGCCCTGCACACGATGATCTTGCCCATCGTTTTCGACCGTATTCATGTTCATCGCCCAGCTGTATAGATTCATATGCCTTCCGAAAGCGACCAACCCTTAATTGCTGTTTTGCTCTGAGCTGGAGCGTCCGTCGCACTTACCGCAATAACCCCTCCTAGTATTGGCGGACAATATATCGATCGGCCCTGCACATTCTCTTCCCTCCTTCACAGCTTCGCACTTGACTTTCGTATGTAGGTGCCGATGACTTCCACTTTCGTTCTCGCATTCCTCATTTTCGCACCAATATTGACTGTACTGGTAGGTGCACATTTTTGGAAAATATATTCGGCGATATTTCTGGTGGTAGAATCAATGTGGCTTGGAGACTGTTGTTGTTCTTTTTGATGCTGGTAGCAATGGTTGTCCGTGTCGAAGAGTAGGAACTGTGTCTGGCTGAGATCGCTGCTGCTTCCCGAAATATGAACTTCGGCTCGAAACAGAAGGTGCTTTCTTTAAAAGTTTACTCTCTCCTGATGAGATCTCGGGTGTTCTTGCTTCGTGGAAGACCTGTTGGCTGTGGCTCAAAAGTCGTCGTTCTTCCTTCCCCTCCAGTTCTTCTTATATAATTTTCACGGGCAAAGGACACTCACCGTGTGTATCACAAGCTTTCTTCACAGTCTCTATGATCATGATCGGGTGAGCTCGAGGCCCAAGGGCAAAAGGCAAGGCAGCGAAGGCAATGGCTGAACAGTAAAGACGTGCGATACCTTTTGCGGAGATTCTACCTGGTTGGTTGAGACAGCTGATAGGAAAGATCGAACAACGTCTTCTTGTTCTGGCCTAACGAAGGAGAATAATCAAGGTTGCTTCAATAGTCCTCGAACAAACCCTCGTGATATACCACTTGATCCAAACGAATATATTCTTCGCATAGCAGTCATCACTAAGACCCTTGACGACCGAACAACGTGCTTGTGAATCTCTGTTCCTTTTAAGTGGTTGTGACACAGAGAGGCGGAATTGATAGCAGATGATTGAGTGCCGAGTCGGTGGCGGTGGCATCGAATTGCTGAATATAGGTTTATCACTCAAAGGGGCGTGGTTCTGTGACCGTGGAGCCAGGGGCACTTCGTGTCACCCTCCTTAGCCCGGTAAGGTCGTGGACGGTACGTAGCAGCGCGATGAAGGCTCCCCAGTGAGATCTCATGTGTCCGGGTACCTAAGCTGAATCGTACTGAAGCGCTGGAGTGATTGTTCGATATGGGCTCACTTGAGGTCAGGAAGATAGAATAGGTCTCTTTGCGGGTTGGGTGTGTGCGAGAGTTGGCAGCCTGGTACCCGTTCGTGTGTATTGCTCAATTCTCTTGGGAATAAAGTAACATGAGCGGCTGTTCGCTATTGCTCATGGACAGGAATCGCCTCACACCATGTTCTGCAATGCCCTCAAGGGATGTATACGATGTTCACCGCCGAACCCTCCCAAGTACGTTGAACGCAGGACCTGACCGACGAATGATCATGCCTAGTGCATCAACTGCCATCCTCAACAAGAAGACTTCACAGTCTGAGTAGCTGTTCCGTCACAGGTGATGAATGCCGTTGCGGTTATCCAGAGACCCGATTACGGAATCGGCTTATGGTGCTTGCGTCCGTATTTCGTCAGGAAATGTAGTGAGGATTGGTTTGAAGGGAGTAGACTTAGGCTTATCGTGTCACTGAGAAGACAACGCTCTGGAGAATCGTGCTTGAGCGACCGACATGTTAAAGCTCAGAAGCACCTGATTTGGATCCCATGTTGAATATGGGAGCCGTACAGTGAAGTACACCAGATTCGCAAAGGCATGGTAGCCCTTCCCATAGACAACATTAGTAACTCCTTCCCTTAGTCAATCATCTACCAACCGCAATCTAGACATCACGGTCTGATTTACATCGCCTTAGAAAGCCACAGCTGCTTTCTTCCGTGTGTGAGATCTGACCCTGTAGCATACATGGAAGCTGTTGATGCTATTTGCGATAGCCAGTCCGTTTTATGACAAGTTTACCGCCCCCCTGGTCCTCGTTTCCCGCATGCACTTGTCAATCATCCGTCATGATGGTTCAACTGCTCCTTTCGGAGCCCCGTCATGGCTATAGCTGGTGTGCAAGAATCCGATCTATTGATACTCAAGTAAATCATCATTGACGGCGAACTTTTGCTTTGCCACCCTTGCCCTTGTGCTGCTACTCATTACGTGGTTACAAACGTGGTAGAAATTGGTCCAGCGTCTTTCCGGCCGAGGTCATCCACCCAAAAGCGAAAGACTGGGGTCTCACATATACAGGACGATTCAACTCAACGTTCAGTAGCAAGGAATGTCAAGGTGGCAGTACGTAGGTGAGGAGATTGGTACTGCCTGTGACATGATCCAAGACCAATCCTCAGTGCAGCTTCAAATCCTGGGTGAAAGCATAGGACTATACCTGTCGGCGAGGTTCGCACCAAGTAAAGCCGCAGGCTCACGACTTCAAGAGCGAGGCCAACATTATCAAAAGTATGTCGAGACTTTCTTCCAAGGTCAGGTGTTGAGTCCCATGTGTGAACAGTGTCTCTCGCAAGTTGTTTCCTCAGTCGCTTGTTACATCATGTGCAAGATTCTAGAGGAATCATTGCCCTCGCATTGCTCCTAAGCTGCCAGGTGCTGGATAGTCCGGAGACGAGTCGCTCATCGAGGCCTTCCTGGCAAGGCGATGCGTAGTTTATCGGCCGGGAACGGGATTGAAAAACGATCCATTCCGCCGGAGCCGGCATTTCCGTCGTCCGAGTGTGCCGCGGCGCAGCAAGCTTTGAGCCAGATCTGATGTGTAAATCTGCAAAGTTCCATCAGACCACTGCAACCTTATATCTCATTATGGACCTGTGACGCCTCGGACGCCCACCAGGCGTTGGAACATGCGGGGTATAGCTGAAGTACAAGAAAATGACTTTGCGGATTCCGGATCGTACGTTGAGGGGACAACGGCCAAGAACTCTCCGTGTCGCCGGGATAAGGCATCCTTGACGAAAAGCGCGAGCGTTTAGTGGACAGGATGCAGTGCTGAAAGCAACGAGAAAAAGGTTCAGCCGGGCGAACGTGATGGCTTCTCGGCTTCCTTGCGGTGGCGTAGCCCATTCGGATATGCAGGATATTTGGATAAGTGCACTGAGCAGGGAGACTTTGACATTCTAGACTTTGAGCTGCAATCTTGGAGCAACAGAACTTTTGTAACGCGGCTATGAAAAGTAAAAAAGTAGGCTTTACCCTCGAGAAACTTGTTGCAGCTGGTTTAGCTCCCGGTTCTTATTGACGCCTCGTGATTCTCGTAGCCCCCTCATCTTGGTCAAGTGAGCGGGCACTACCTGCGGAATGCGCTCCGGCCGACAGCCCCGCGGGTCCGGGGACGGGAGCTTTGAAAGCCCCTCACCGGTCGCAGCTTCGCGGACCGAGGAGCTGTAAGTTTTGCTTGCTGTCTTTCCAAGGGCCATTCCGTCACTGGAGTCCAAACGTGACAAAGGGATTGTGCGGGCGTCAGCTGTGTTGACAAATTCTCAGCCAAAGTGGCTCGGCGGGGCGCAAACAGCCCAGAGGAACTTCAGAGGCGCAACGGGCTGGACACTTGGCGTTAGAATCATGAGTGGCTTTGCGGGGTCAGCAGAGGACCAGGCCAAGGAGCCAAGTGTTGGTGACGGGGCTGTGGGCATGTGAAGATGAGAGGGCTCAGAGGAGAGTGAATCAGATGGAAAGCTGAGATGCGATGAAATGCGGACAAATGAGATGACAAGAGTTGCGTCTGGATGACGCACTGATCGAGCGAGTGATGAGCTGTTTCCTGCTGTTCAAGAATTGGCAGACATGGCAGACGAGCTTCATCTCATCGACATGGTCATCCCAAGAGTCTAGACCTCTTGGACGTCAAACCAAGCTTTGACCAAAGGATTCGATTTCGTCAGACTATGTGGTCTTTGACTTTTGCTAGCAGTGCCGTCCGGTCATCTTTTAGACGGCGTCCGATGTGTCCGTCTCTGATGTGTCCACGGCGCCATGCAGAGCGCCACAGTGATCCCTCCTTGACCTATTTCAAGAGAGGCGTGAGAGAATCTGATTACCGTAAGAAACAAGGTAGTGTGTGTTACCTACTAGTATGCAAGGCAAGGTTAGCTAACGACCGGTACTGCCGGTTTCCGTAGTAGCCTCTTTTTTACATCTCAGCCAGAAGTCTGTCCTCAAGTCCCTTGGTTTCTCATTACGCATACCTACGTACTGCGTGCCCTTACACCCTTGAGAAGACTTCGGCCAAAGTCGCCCACTTCACCGAAAGTCGGGCGCCGATCAGTGAGTCCGGTGCGGAATCGGTCCCTGCACGGCAACCCTCTCTAGTGGTCCCATTCGCGGGAATAGACGGGAACTTTGAGATGAGGCCTGCCGGCGGTAAATGAGGGAACGCGCAGGCGGCAGCAGCCCTGTGGGCTTCGAGGGTTTCAAGCCTCAAGAAGTTGGGTCCATGGTTGTACGGAGTACGGAATACCTTGACTTGACAATCAAGAACTCATGAAAGTAGGTAGGGTTGAAGGAGACACCACCAAAAGACTCATCTGACATGTCTCGCACACCCAAACCTCCCGCGTCCTTCCCGCACCGTCACCGTCATTTGATCCAAGGCACGCAAGTACCGAAGAAGGTTGGGTTAGGGCGCATGTCTCAGTATCCAAGACACAGACTAGCAAAGTGAACCCCTTCACCGCAGGTCATGAAGCCATTGAGAGTGTTGCCCTGGGCGAATCTGGGCCCTGGACGGGCGATGATGGCCTTATCGCTCCATATCAGCGTGGTATCGCATCATCCGGTCACACTGACTGGTCGCCAGGGAGAAACACACCCATCATCATGGCCCGTTGATAACCCACAACAAAACATTCAAAAGGTTTCAACGCTACCTTACGCCTCATGCGTGCCCGGCAGGAGAGAACACTTGACCGCAGCCACTATCAAAGTCGTATCTATCTTTCTCTCTCTCTCTCTCTCTCTCTCTCTCTCTTTCTGAGTTTCCTCGTCGCCCGGCAGATGGACATCCCGCGGGCGCGGACGGATGCCACGGCCTTTCATCGCCTGACCACGCAGCCACGCTCGTCCACGTCGGCCAGCTGTTTTCATCCACTCAGAAACGCGAAGCTGACACCGCCATAACATCATGACAAGACCAGGGGCGCGGGAAAGTTTCTTGCAGCGCCATCCGGTGGCATCCACAATTCGAGATGCAAGGGGAGAGGGTCCTCTCTTCCATTCGCATGACACTCTTCCGCAAGGTGAATACTTGGTAGGTAAGGCATTGGTAGTGTGTATTCACGTAGTGTAAGTTGGGCGTGCAGGTTTTATTCGTACAACACACACACACACTTTACGTATGTACACAACGAGGTACACAAACAAGTACCTCATCGACACGAAACTGAAAATTTGTTGACACAACGGAGAATTTCCATCATATTTTTTTCTTGTCCCTCTCGTTTAATTGTTTCCAGGGACCAGTTCGACGTCACAAACGAAAACTCCTGCGTCGTAGCTCCAGTTCTTTTTTTCTCGCGTAGGGCCCCTTTTTGGTTACGTGGTTCGGCCCTTTTCTTGCACATTCTTCCCGTTGAGTTCCCTTGAATCAGTGATTCGTGAGAATCGATTCGTAGCTGGAGTGCTGGAGAAAGGCCTCGTCTCCAAAAGGCCCCAAAGTACTCCGTAGCTCCAAGAAGCAAGGACTTCAAGGAGAAGAGAAGAAAAAATTGCTTGGTTGGACCCATTTAATGCCCAGTTCCGGACACTGCCCGGGCCAGACGGAGCTCACAGCGCAACCCTCCCGGCCCCATCGTCATTACTCATTCTAGGTCCAATTACCTCAAAAGTACTACTTTCTACCGAGTGTTATACATGCTTCGTACTAGTAGCTACTCCTTAGTCTCAGAGATGTATGCGGCCATGGCTGGCTTTGTACCCTCAGCGCCCTGAGAGGTGTGCCACGAGTGTGCCCAGAGCCACACACACACACACACACACACACACACATCCCAAGTTCCCTTGGCCTGATGGGCTGGTGGTAATAATAATGTCCATGGGCGTTGGCATGAGTAAGTAAGGATCGGCCTTGTTCCGTTGGGCGCTGCCGCGGGTCTGATCGCCATCGCTCTTCAGATTTTTAGGGCGCCTCGTCTCGAACGATCTGAGCCTTAGATTGGTGATCACTGCATAGGGTTCCGGCACCCGCGGCTTATATAGTGGGCTTGGGATCCCGTTCGAACTGCTCGCTCGTCATATTCGTCAGATCCCATTTCCTGGCACGGCACTTGGCTCTTCGTCTGAACGGTTCCCCTATATTTACATCGGGCACCCATCGACACCTCACGTCAACAATAAGCACAGACACTTACAGCAACACACCTCACACAAAGAGTACAAATACCAACACGACGGAACCCAGCACACACAGACGGGCTACTACCACATACCACCTTGATCTCAACTTTCCACAACTCAACGTTCAACTCTCATACACGCAAGGATCACATACACCTCAACACCATCCCAACATGTTCGGCCGTCAGTCACAAACTCAGTTCCCCAAGCGAAGCAGCTCAGGCTACTCGTGGCCCGAGAGCGACAGCGAAGACGACATCGTCATCAGGCCCTGCGCCACGAACGAGAAGGCCGATGCCACAGTCACCATGACCGAGTGCGTTCCGGGCCCGACGGCGGTGGAACAGACTTCTCAGTCCAGGCCTTCTCTCAGCGGCCGCCGCGCCTCCGCCGAGGACACCAACCTGCAAGAGCTTTGGGAATGCATGCTTGAGCTCCAGCAACAATATCACTGTTACAACTCGACGCGTATGGAGATTGCTGCCGACAGGGAGGACGCCAGGGACATGATGCGTACGTTGACACTCTCACTTCTCGCCCTTACAAGAGCTTCCTTTCGCTAACACCTTATTCAGCCACCAAGTACTGCATGGACATGCTCAACGACTCCATCGAGTCCCTTCCCGAAGAGGGCTGGAAGAAGCTCAGCAAGTTCCTCATCACCGACCTCGAGCACGCCCAAAAATCGCAAAAGTGGAAGTTCTGGAAGCACCTCTAGATTTGTGCACATGGACCGCTCAACTCTTGCATTCATCCTTTCTTTCAGCGAAGCGAAGGGCTCCCGGCTCTGATTAGAATGATACCCCCTTCTTTTTTTCTCATAACAAAAGTTTCGGTTTAGGGTCAGGCGTCTCATCGGATATCCCCTGGTTCAACTACTCACATTGGGTTTGGTGGCTCTGAAGGCATTGGCGGATTTCTGTTACATTATTTAATCCATCACGCAAATCATATTTGACACACTTTGAAACCTTGCTCTTCCATCTTCATGACCCTCACGGTGAATTCTTCCCCTTCATTAACACGATTTCGTCATATCGTACGAGACGACATCTCATGGAATGCTCGGTGCGGGGTGTTGGAGATCTCGGCAGAAGCTCACGGCCGCCGGCTCCGATTCCGGATCGTGAATGCCGATCGCTCGTTGGCGTGCTCACCAGTGTGACACGACATGCATGTGCCATTACATCGCGGGGAAAACGTCAAGTAGGCCGGTGAGTCAGAGCGTTTTGACATGTCGACTCAAAATGTGACACTAGCTGCGAGCTTACACGTACTTGTCAAGTAGACGGGAAGTATTTCATCATGATGTTGCAAGTGCAGTGATGTTAGTAGACTGTTAATGGGGGGACCCGTTGTATCCGCAGTATGTCTCGATTCTCGAGTCAAATTGCGGAATTAGCCTTCAATAGCGCAGAGCATCACTCATGAAGATCGTCGTAAGAAAACATCTCATTGGGCTAAACTCTCATTACAAGGTCATACAAAACAAAGCGGAAACCAAAGCAATAGTCAATCTATACAGCCGCGGCAACTTCGACAGGTCCCTGCGGAAGCCGGGCGGCCGCAATGTTGCACTGACGGAACAACCGAACCTCATCTTCCGCAAAGGCGCCCACCACGGAGTGGATCACGCCGCGGTTGTGGAAAATGACAAAGTCGCCCTGCTCCCAGTCGTGAGCGTACACGTTCTTGGGCGAGATGCCCGGCCGCTGCAGGCGGTGCACCGTCTCCCGCACCTCGGCGAGGTCCTCCACCACGGTGCCGTCCGCCAAGTGAAGCTTCCGCACCGCCGAGGGGTGGACCTGCAACGCCAGCCGGTCCGTGACGGGGTTCCGCCAGCACATGGGCAGGATCTGGATCTTTTCCTCCTCGATGGGGGGCAGGTCCTCGAGCGGGACCTCCTTGCCCTCCGAGACCATGCCCAGGCCGGTGGAGCGGGACTTGGCGCTGCTCATCCACACGTAGGGGTGCGGTGCGTACTCCACCTTTGTCGTGCGGACGAACTCCTGGTCCTCGGGCGAGAGGTTGTCGTACATTGCGTAACCGGACACGAAGGCTGTGGTACCGAGAGGGACCGTCATCTCTTCGTCGGTGCCGTCGTCGTAGCGGAGGGTTTGCTTGCGGCCGCCGGGCACACGGACTGCCAGGAGAGTCGTGGCGACGGGCGGTGCGAGACCGTAGAGCGCGGCATCGATGTGCCAGCGGTAGAAACGTGTGAAATCCAGGTCATCCTCATCAGGGATGGTTGTGGCGTGGAATGTGCGGTGGTGAGGGTGTCTGAGCTGGATGTTCTTCAGACCCTCGTACTCCTCGACGAAACCATTGCCAATGACTTGGACTTGAGGCTGGTGCGGGATGGTCTTCAGGTCGGGGTGCAGAATAGAGCGCTTGGCGTCCAGGGTCTTGCCGTGACCGTAGTTCTCACCAGAGTCAGGGTCGAACTTTTGTGTAATCTCAAACTGTGCCTTGGGAGATGCATGTCCTTGGTTCTTGATTACGAGAACTTGGTGCTTGAAGAGAGCTTCACGGATGACATCAAAGTCGGCATCTGTAAATCGTCAGCCAATGGTCTGAATTTGTGAGTCTTGTTACTTGAAGCTTACCAGAGGAGGTTACCGATTTCACGGGTATTCTCCCACTACTTGTACAACATCATCGCTTTCAATGCATCACGCGCACGTCATATCTTACCAGTGAGATTCTCAATATCAGCGTTGCTTATGGTAGCGCCAAAGTCAACAGCCGAGTCCACAGCAGGGACAATTGGCTGGACGGTTATGCGAGACGGAGTTTGTGAAATGGCCATTTTCGAGCTGGAGTTCAGAATGATATTGGTTCTTAATTGGGTAAGGCGTTGATCTTGTTTCGAAGGGCAGCTGTCTTCCAACGTCTTAAATGAGTTCGTGTAGCAGTCCGGTGGCTCTGAAGAGGCTTTTATGTCTTGTGAAAGATACTGTGGTGGAGTCGTCAACTCGGATCCCGCCGATGGCCTGCGGGAGAGTTTGTTATCTCACCCGCACCGGCCCGCCCGCACTCGAGAGAATAGATGTAGAGATGGTGGGGTTTCTCGATAAGGCTGTGGCGTAGAACACCGAGTTGCGCATCTCCGTTTTGTATTCTGCTGGTGTTATTGGATGATTGCTCTCAGTATCTTTCGACTCGTTCATGATTCTGAATTGGGACTTTGTGCACCCTATCAAGCAGTACCGTCAGCCTCTTGTTGACAGTAATTCAACATCTGGCTGCTCGCGTACCCAACTAATAAGGTACCTGACTCCATCCTTGAACCAACATCGGCTCGAAGCCCCAACGCCGAACCCGCGAGTCACCCCGCCACCCCTCCATCCCACCCCTCCATCTCTTCCGCCCGCGACTCGGCCTACGGGCGCAGAATCCCGCGAATTTTTGATAGCTGTGCCTGAAATATTGCAGTCTCGCGTGGCAGCCCCTCAGTGCGCACTGGTGCCTCCCATCTCTTCAAAGCCCGCTGCTGGCATGGCTGCGTCGGTCTCCGCCTTTGCGCCGACTGAAGCGGGCCATGTCGTCGGAGGGAAGCGACGGGAGCATGTTCTCAATGATCCAGCGTGTTGTCTCTGCCAGAGGCTAACTGCAGATCTGGAGACTATGCATCCGTGGCAATGACTACCTGTAGCCGTCCTCAGTTGCTGGCAAACGAAAGCAAGCCAGGACGTGACCGTAGCGCTGTCGTTGCGTCTGAAATATGAGTCGATAGCGTAGTTGGCTCCTCAATGCTTCTTGACCTTGTCCATCCATTCCTTGGAAGCCTTTGTGCCGTCGTGAGCTTTTCGGAAAAGTACTCGCTCCCACTCGTCCAGACCGCGGAGGAACTCCTCGCCGGAGCCTCCAACACCATCATCTCCTCCTTTTCGGGCGTGCAATGCGATCTCAGACGCGCGCGCTATGAACGTCTTTCGCATGGTATCGCTAAGATCGCGCTCGTCAAAGAGATCCAGGATGCGAGTGCCGAGTCCGTAGAAGTGGGCGCTCTGGTCTCTAACCGGCACCGAGCGCGCATCGGCCTTGAGTGCTTGTACGACTTGATTCGAGAGTGAGGGAGGAAGGTTCAAGGTGACGGGCGCCTTGGAGTCGTCGCCGGTACCTGCATTGGCAAGGGCGAGCATCTCGGCGAGCCAGAGAGGGAGGCTGACATTGGTTCCTGCCTTCAGAGCATGCGAGGGGTTATTGTCGAGGTATCCGAGGTCGGCAACATCGAGTTCGAATTTGCAGGGGACTTTCTAGGCTGTTGTTAGCTTTTGTCATCGATTATGCCAAGTGTGAAGGTAATGGTATGATTAGAGGGGCATGATATAGGGAATCACTGTATACCTCGGCATCTGTGAGAATGGAATCAATGTCGTAGTAAGACATGCTGGCTTCTTTGACAAGATCCCCGCTTCGTTTGACTGGGTGTTCACAACTGGGATACGAGACCAAACCTGGGAGGGGGTCCTGCTGGTGAAGCTTGACGCGTCTGGCGATGCAGCAGACGCGGTTCTTGGAGCCCAGCCACACATCACCCCGCCATGTCTGTCACTGTCAAGCCACATCTTCTGGGTGAGGCTGTGGCTGAGGGTGTGTTAGTAAGGCGGTGGCAGAAGAGCACCAATGAGACGTGATGGATTACCTAAGGGTGTTCCATGGAAGAGCTCCAAAGAAACTGGAGGTGACAGCTCTCCACTTTTAGTGGATGACGACATTTCTCCACGTCTCTCATTCGCTGGAAGCTCGATTAGGTGATTGAGTAGGTACCTACGCAGTAAAGCAGTGGACGGGGGAACCGCTGGAGGAACACGGGGAGAAGCGCAAAAGCGCTGAAGAGCGAGCCCGGCCAACAACAGCTCGGTAGCCGTAGCACGGAGGCAGCTTTTCTGGAGATCCGAGCTCCCTCACGTAATAGCCGACCGAACCTCCCGCAATTGACATCATTCTGAGATTTGCACCTGCATTTGTCAACCCGCCAATTCAACGTCAAAAGGTACTTTTACGCCCTTACTGCCTCACTTCTTTGCTTTTAAGCATCTCGCAAGCTTTGATTAAAGCCATTGACACTAATCAAAAGACATAGAATACGCAAAATGTCGTCCACTCTCCTCCGTACCGCGCCAGTCCTCCGCACAGCTCTGCGAGCTGGTGCCGCTAAGCCTGCTGCTGCTGCTTTGGCCAGCACCAGCTTCGTTCGCGGCAAGGCTACTCTGCCCGACATCTCTTGTAGGTAACGCCGTTCTTGTCGTCGTATTTGTTGCGAGGATACAGACGCGCTAATGCCTCCTCCTACGCAGATGACTACGGCGCCCTTGAGCCCTACATCTCGGCCCAGATCATGGAGCTTCACCACTCCAAGCACCACCAGACCTACGTCAACGGCCTCAACACCGCTCTTGAGACCGTCGAAGATGCCAACGCCAAGGGCGACTATGCCAAGGCTGCTGCTCAAGCTCCCTTGATCAACTTCCACGGCGGTGGCCACGTCAACCACTCTCTCTTCTGGGAGAACCTTGCCCCTGCCAGCAGAGATGGCGGTGGTGAGCCCGACGGCAAACTGGCTGTACGATCTCTCTCCGACATGAGCCCACATTCAACTTTGAGAATATACTGACACATTTCATAGCAAGCCATCAAGGAGGACTTTGGCTCCTTCGACACCCTGCGCAAGCAGATCAACACCTCCCTGGCCGGAATTCAGGGCAGCGGTTGGGCCTGGCTTGTCAAGGACAAGACCAGCGGCACCCTCGGCGTCGTCACTCGCGCGAACCAGGACCCCGTCACCGGAAACCTCGAGCCCCTTCTCGGTATCGATGCTTGGGAGCACGCCTACTACCTGCAGTACCAGAACCGCAAGGCCGAGTACTTTGACGCCATCTGGAACGTTGTCAACTGGAAGACTGTGGCCAAGCGCTTCGAGAAATAAGCAAACAAGGGACACATGTACGATATGCAACTGTTGATACCTCAAACAAATTCACCGTGTTGGACCAATGCCAGCCTGTTGAACGACAACGTGCCAGGCTGTGACAGCCACCTCAACTTCAAACGTCAGACATTCTAGGATGAAATTAATAAGTTTTGTAGCTATGATACTAATGGCAGCACTACGGCCTTGACCGACAGAAACAAGTCCCAAACTCCTCGCTCTATTCAACAATGGCTCGACGCCATCTCATGGTATTGGGAGGAACCCCATATCCGCCCACTTGCTTCCATCAAAGTGGACGTGCTTAAGCTGCCGGTTCGCTTGGAAGAAGCAATGACTGAGGTCATGCGATGCCTCAAGAGGCACCTCCGGAATCTTTGCCGACGCAGCTGTCACGCAGGCGATATGTGTTGGATTGTCGGCACCATCGAAGACGGAATCCGACTCCGGCCCTTTCCACCCTGTCGTATCGTCCTCGTACACATAGGATATCTTGCCAGTCTTGGAGTCCTGGTACAGGACCCACGTGTTGAGGGCCTCTGATTTTTGGCCGCTAGAATCGAGCCGAGCTACCGCGAAGCCAGCCATGGTAAAGTTCGAGTCGACAGTCACGGGTAGCTGGCCCGTCGAGGTGAGCTGCTGGCCACCAGATGATCGATCATAGTTTTGCAGATGGCCGTCGGTGCTACGGTAGATGATGCGTGCGCTTGATGCGGATGTCAGGTCTCCAGCTGAGTGGATTACTTCTCGAGGAAGAATCACCAGTGCCGAGCCCGGAGACGCCGTGACCCCAACTACCTTAGGCTCCTGGAACCTGGGCGACTTGTAATCGAAGAATATCTCCATAACGTCTCCGTTGCTTGCCTGGACAATGGTGGACGGCCAGTACGATGCCATCTGTGTTCCCGTGTTGCTGATGGTGTAACCTGCCTCATTGACGCTGTCTGTCAGTCCCCCTCTCGAGAAACCTTCACGCCAATTGACGCCGAGGATCTTGTCTGGAGATCCGAGATAGAAGACTTCGGACTGCGGGATTACAGGCAAGGGCTTCACAAGACGTCTTTAGTAAAAGGTCCACCGACGGAGAAAGGGCAAATACGAACCTCATCGGGCTTGGTCCACAGCTGACCGGCGCCGAAAGGAGAGCCTACTTTGGGGGCTGCCCCAGCTTCCATCGGGGGAGTCCAGGCTTGATAGATGGTCATGTATTGAGACCGTCTCAATGAACCGTCTGCGCCCTGGAAAAAGACTTGCAGGGTGATGTCGGAACCGTATCGCCATCCGACAGCAGATACAGCCGAGTTCTGCATAATCTTAGTAGCGCTCGTCGATGGCGCATCGCCGTTTACCGATCCTGGACCACCCGTCTGTGATTGTGCGCTCCGGTTCACCGTCACCCTCCATGCGGCCACGCCGCCGATGACACCTCCAAGAATCAAAACGACTAGAGCCACCGTGATTGCGATACACCACGGGAATCGCCGGCCCGGCCGCTGATCCTCCTGTCCTCCAACATGGCTTCCAGGGGTTTGCGAAGAGTAGCCATTATCCAACGTCTTGTGTTCACTGTAGCCTGAGCCGTTTTGTGAGGAAGATTGCCAATGACTTGCTCCGTTGGCGATAGCTATAGGAGTGTTGTCGTAGTGTGTGCTTACTTCAAGCCCTGGTTGAACAGACTCGGCTGGACGGTTCATTGTGAGCGGCTTGTGAGGGAGGAAATTCCTTTGTTCCAGTTCAGAACGAGCGTAGGGGAGTACGAGATGTAAAAAACACCAAAGTTCCAAGAGTTCAAGAGAACGAGCGACAGTGCGTCGTGTGTCTCCTGCCTTATGTATATCTGGGCTCACATCCGACCCCACGCTAAGGCAAGGCTTTTGCTCACTTCACTTCGTCTTGTTTCAATACTTTCCAAATCTACGGGAGACCATCCAAGGGCTCTAAAGTCTCGTGTCCTTCTTACCCACTCTGGAGGCTGCCTACTTTGCAGGACCGAATCGGCCCCTAGGTTCGACGTCAGGACACGAGCCAAGATCTGCAACTGTGCCTTCTCGCCCGCAGGAGGAGCAATGCCAGGTAACAGCCGACATCGAGATGCCCCCTGCTCCATGGATGTTCAAGGTGATCTCGTCAGAATTTTCCCCAGTCCAATGATAGGGTCTCTATTGACGCGCAGGATTCTCAGGTTCACCTCAGAATGGAAAAGAGACATAAACTTGGCAACAATCAGGCTACACACGCTCTACGAGACTTGGAAGACGTTGACGCCAAGGAGGCGGCACAGCAGGGTCTCTAATTGCGGCCTCTGGTATCCTGCAGCTAATAGGGCTGGGCTGACTGATGTGACGATTCATAACGCAGAGCTTCATGCACTGCCAGACGTCGGCTGCACTGGAAATACCAAAGTCCCTTTCCAGCGTGCCATCGCTTTGCTGGTCTTGATGAAGGAGAGCATGGACGGGGACTTGAAGCGCCAGACCGGGGCCCTGGCTAATTCGCTGAGAGGCAACGAGCTGACAACACTAAATTAACCTTGTTTGTGATTGAGAACGGGTCTGAGACTGGATCATGATTCGTGGGGTCGCTTTTGGGGGTTAATTCTCCAGTCCCATGGATGATTGGGGCCAATTACTGCATGCTGCTCTACCTGGTGTTGCAACCTTGGATCCCAGACACCAGTTTCCCGGGATTGCGCCCTTTGTTGAACAAGCAGGCCTTCTACGACATTAGAAAAAGCTTCGCTTGACTTCATCGTTGACCGCGGTGATTGCTGAACGGCGAAACTCGCGGTTCTGTCATCTCTCTGTCCAAAAGAGTTGTCCATATGCACGAGAACCGCATCTCGGGTCGATCGGCACAGGATTGGTCCAAAGGGCTTTTGGTACGCATCAGATCGCTCCTCACGTGTGCGTATTAGGCAGAACCAAATGGTTCGCGAGTCCGCCACGTTTGGGCTTCATCGAGATAAAAATGAACGGGAAAAACTGCTCTAAAATATCAAATCCCAGTACTTAAACATCAAGGTACCATAACGCTCATATATTGTTCCATCCAACTCGTTTCACTTGCCTGTATTCCGTCGTGAGAAGTAATCTTACCTTTAACATGCCCCTCTGCGATCTCTGCACATCCATCCCATGGGAGGATCTCCCTCCCTTTCCGAATGAAAACTTCATGAAGACGTTAAGCGGCTACCCACGCTTTCATCACTTAGTATTGAAGAGTCAGCTGATTGAGAAAGACACGCCCATCAAAAGATTCGGCGTCCAGCACCATGCAAGCCTGCAGAGTCTCCGCCAAGCTGCCTCTGGCGGTTGTGAGCTCTGTCAGGTCATTGAGAGAGAAGCCGATGCACTGATAGAGGAGATCGAAGGGCTTCCCCAGCCAAGACGCGGTCTGATGCAGACCGAGCCCAGTTGGGATATGTGGCTGACGAAGCGATCGGAGCCTGGAGTCTCCGGCGATGGGTTCTGGGTTGTGAACAGAAGCTCTTGGGGGAGCGATAAGTGGCTCGTCCCGATTGCGTCCATCGGCTTTAGTTCGGATGAAGGTGAGTTTCTCTCCACTGCCTGCTCAACTTCAACTTCTTGATAGTAATGCTCATCTGCGACTTAGATGATCCTCGCACCGCCGGTTCTTCTGGCCGCGTGTTGAGAGAAGTTCCAGACGAGACGACACTCCGTCGAGCTGTGAACTGGCTTGAGAAATGCAACGAACATGATTATTGTAGTACTCGCGGAGAGTCGCCTCTACCAAGTCGTATACTTGACGTTGGAACACTGGAGTCCGGTCCCATCATCAAACTCATCGAGCCAGGTGCTGATCTCCGCGGTCGATACATCACTCTAAGCTACTGTTGGGGTCAAGCATCGAAGCAATTCACTACAACAAACGAAACAATGCAAGCACGAAAGGAAGGCTTCTTACTGGACTCCTTACCACAAACCGTTCAGGATGCAGTCTTCGTCACTCGAAAACTCGGAGTCCAGTACCTCTGGATCGACAGTCTCTGCATCTGCCAGGATGATCTCAAAGACTGGGAGCGAGAGTCGGGTCAAATGGCTGCAGTCTACTCTGGTTCCTATCTTACTCTTGCGGCCACAAAGTCTTCGGACATCAACGGAGGTCTCCTCTCGCCTCGGAAGAAAAGGACATACTTCAAGCTTCCTCGGGCAAGTTCCAGCAACAGAGACACATTCATCCTTGCGTCTATTCTACCTCTCCACAAAGAAATCATCCACGAGTACCACTTGCAAATGAGGGAGGAGCCCATGACAAGAAGAGCCTGGGGCTTCCAAGAACGTGTTCTTGCCCGAAGAACACTACACTTTGGAAGCGAACAAATGTACTGGGAATGTCTCGAGGGATTCCACGCCGAAGAAGGACTCAAACTCCCACACCGACTACCCTGTGTCAATCCCGACCCAGAAGTAATTGCCCATGTGGAGAAGCGCGCCGAGGAGCAGGCAGAGCTTCACAAAGACTTCAACCGCTCTACATCCTCTCTCAAGGTCTGGTCTCACCTCCTGCGCGAGTACGGACCTAGGGAATTAACGAATCCTGCTGATAAACTGCCCGCATTCTCCGGTGTGGCGAAGACCTTCAGCAAAATACTCGACGACGAGTATCTAGCAGGACTGTGGCGAGGTTCCTTAATCGAGGGGTTGTGTTGGCAGCCACTGAGCTGCCAGCCTGCTTCAGGGGGCTACCGCGCTCCGTCGTGGTCGTGGGCTTCTGTGGATGGTACTCCTGCGACGGGGTTCTTGGGTGAGAGTGTGCCCCATGCCGAGATCATTGAGGCAAAGGTTGAGATTGACGGCGAAAATCCATTTGGTCGTGTCAAAGACGGCTGGATCAAGCTCGAGGCTCCGCTTGTGAAGATGGTCGTGTCCGACAACAAAGGCCCGACAGGACACATACTCCTGAGGACCGAGAAGGGCGCGGCTGACTTCTACGCAATGCTAGATACGATTGACCGGGACTACGCTACTAGCGGAAATCTCCTCAGTTCAATGGACCTAAGTGCTGTCGTTCTGGCTTTCACCTACGGCACTCCTTTCAAGGCCGATCCCGAGCGGAAGGATCCATGTGCTCAAGCGCTACTTGTGGTCCCTTCGGAGGATCGACCGGGTTGTATGAGGAGAATTGGGATGCTCGTCCAGGACGGAGCAGCCTTTGGGGCAGATCTACTGGCTTCCACAAAGTCTGTTGTCACCTTGGTATGATTTGCTTGAGAGAAGCGAAGAGAGTAACGAAGTGCAGGGTATCATCAATATATTTTCAGCCTGTACGCCATGCTGTTCTGCTAGATCGCTTCGACTACGTGGCAAAGGTAAGGTAGTTAAGGTAGATTTCCACATGTTGAGATCCTGCTATGGAGATGTTAAGAAGTGCGCCTGGGTGTCTGGTCTCGCCGGCATTGAGTGCAACACGCTGATCTCCACCGTTTTGTTGATCCCTCCCAGCGACGTCGGTTCAATTCCGCCGAGTCCGATGTTGGACCTTGAAGAGCCAGCGCTGATGATGTTTTCCTGAGAGCTTGTCCGCCTGCCACCGCGAACCTCGACCAGTCTCTCGCTGTGTTGTGTGGCAGCATACCAATCATTCTGTTTCTGATACGATGCAAATCCTCGGAGTGGCGGTCGAATTGGCTGCGTAGGGTGATAGACCTGTGTCGTGAAGACGAGTTTCGATGCCAGGATGTCAATGCTACACAGGTAATATTAGTTAGCAGCACCATGCAACACGTGAGAGTATAGGGGTGTAACTCACAACATAACTACAGGAAATAGGCACTCAAGTGTGTATGCGAAGCGGTCAATCTGACTTGCCGCGTTTGTAGCACTCTGCGCAGCAATCTGAAAAGAATATGTGACGGCTCGCATTGTTCCAACCAAAGCCAGCGTCGCCAGCCGGACTTCAGTGCTTCGCATTAGATATTTGAACAGACCTCCCTTCAATGCTGCTCTCAATGATGTCGACTTGACCTCGGCGAACGTCTTGAGCAAGAAAAAGGAGCTGATACACTCGAGCGAAGCTATGAGAACAAAGTAACCGATGTGTAGGTTATTGACGGTGCTCTGCAGGTTCGTATTGCCTCTTAGGATGAATTTGGCGCGCGAGACAGCGATCATGATGCGTATTGATATGATTGAGAGTACCATAATCCAGAACAAGCTGTTGAAGATCTTCCAGCCCAAGTCCTTTAAAATTCTTCGGAGAAGAACGTAGCTGTAAAAGGACAAGCCCACTTCCTGAATCTGTATGCAAGGTTAATGTAGGGTCCGTGGAACACTCTTGAAATCAAATCTCACCATCCAGAAGATATCCCCAAATACCGACGCGGCAGCTTTGCTCTTGAGGGAATACGTTTCATTGTAGAATGCGTAGTAGCAGACTCCGTTCGCGATAGCGCCAGAAGCTGACGATACGATTGGCACCGCAGTTATCTGGGAGAAGGTTGTAATTCCGACAATGAGGAAGCCAAGAATAACGTTGGCGGCACCGATGGTACTCAGAATCGACCAGCTTAGCTCGAAATACACCGGAAGGAGCGGCGTCGACATGTTGGCGCCACTTGAGCAACTAGATGTTTACTCAACTGTCGCATGGCCGTTGGATGTATGAGATGGCTTGAGCGTTGTCTGTCGCGAGCGCTCTACGATCGGTCTCGCGCTTAATACTACTCTCTGCCTGGCAAACTTATTGGCATCGACCGGCGTTCAACTCACAGGGCTACTTGGTACTTTTCGGCGGCAGGGTGTCAGAAACATGCAGTCTGGAACTCTGCCTTACGAATCGCTCGGCACAAGGCGAATCCTTTCGCAATCCGGCAGGTTTCGGTGATGTTAAGAGCGTTCGAGACGAGTATATCATGGTCAACCCTTGTCGCAAACTAATGTGGCCGAAGTTTTTCGTCAAACCTAAGGATGATGGGCTTGGCCTCTGCTTCAATCCTCATAGTTTCCAGGGTTCAACATCGGAAATATGCACGGAAGGTGCACCTATTTCCAATACGGTTCTTCGTAAATATGGGACAATGCCCTGTGCTTCAAATCTTCGGAAGAAGGCTGCTCAATTCTCCTTCTGGTGTTCCCCAAGGCTTGCCTACCCATTGTGTGCCTCTTATCCTCTTCAGTGATGAAGTTGGCACACGGTCCTAGTTTGTTTGCCTTTGAGGAGTTGCGGAATTCGTCGTGGCACAGCGGCTGCGACCCGACGAACCCGTGAGTGCGACTGGCTGCCGATTCCCCGACCAGAGTTGAGCTTTAAAGTTCGAGGCACAACACCTCGGACTCCCCAGAAAGCTTAGAGCACCTCATTGCCATGTTCAAACCCCGCTTCTCTCCAAAATGTTTGTGGATAGAGTCTGAAGGGAGGGAAGCACCCTGTCCAACGATCAGCGACTACTGCACGTGTTCACTCCGTTCGCTGAGCCTATAGCCAATGTTGAGAGGTAGGAAGATATTGGTGGCGAAGGCGGTTCTGAATCCTGCGAGTGTTCCATCAACAGCACCACGGCACGGTACAGACGGGTCTCGGCAGAGAAATCCGAGACGGGCGAGACCATGATGATGGGAAAATGCCAAGAAGACGATGGGCTTCAGGCCGATAAGTTCATGTCAGGGACACTCGGAAATGACTCCGATGGCCATACCAGACTTCTAGCAGGCCATAGATTCCCATCAGCTCCAGAGTTGGCCATCATGTTCAATTCTATATGCACGAGAGACAAGTTCGATAGTGTACACATGTGTACGTGAACATGGCCTACGAAATGGCTAATCATCGTTGGGAGATGAAATTGCGACGGGAACTGATGAATATCAGCAACGATTAAACGGATGAATAAGAATGACAGTGCGTTTTTGCATAGCATGTGATGAGGAGCTTGAGTCGTGAAGATACAGAAAGTATATTAACACGGCACGGTAATTTTGTCACTGGCGGTTGAAGTGAAGTTGGAGGCAGCGCCTCACAACAGTCTCCAAGAATGGTCAATGCTAGGTACAGCAACCACCATGAACTCAGAATACTACGAACTTCCTCAAGATGGCGATATGTCGTATCAGCCAGCCACGATAAAGACGCTACGGGACATGAGAAAACGTTGTTACAGCAGCTAGATCAAAGCTTAACGGGGACTCTCCACGACGGCTGTTTTTACTCGCTAGGGAGAACTCTCTTTTCAAATCAGTAGGTAGACAGACACCCTTTTTCTGTTTTCGTTTGTCTCATTGTCTCACAGACAAAGACCAGGGACATATTCAATCCTGTCAAATTCAGTAGTTTCTTGAGCGTCAAATACATGTACCAGTAACGGTCTTCCAAGCTGAGGTACGTTGGGTATCCTATTCTCATCCCGCCTTCGGCTTGTGATCACCTGAGCAAACAGCCTTTTTTCTACCTCGTCCCGAACGCCTTTTCCGTGTAATCTGACCTGCCCCAATACATCCTGATCGCGACTTCCTCCATCCGGACCTATACCCTCGCGCACTGGGCGGTGATGTCGTCAAGAGCGGAGCTCTAAGCTATGTTCTGTGCCCATCGAGGGGATTCCTTGTTCTGTATCTGCGTCGAACATCTTCCAGTCGATGTAAGACTCCCCTTCATTCGCACCATCTGGACATGGTTGGGTATCCATTTGTATCCCTCCTCCGCCGGACGCCGATGCCGAAGTGCCCCCGGCCATGCTCGATGACACCAAGTTCTGCGCCGCGCCGGATATGTACTCCTCGATAAAAGAGCACCCACAGCTGCCGTGTTGGAGCACCATGGTCTTCAACATGAGGATCTCACCTCGAAGCAACGCAGCCTCGTCGTTGAGGTTCTTGTTGATGTTTTCGGCCATCGCCTCCTGGGTTTGTAGCTCCTCGACTCCCTTTTGCTTCTTCTTTCTGCACTTGTAAGCTGCCTCCCGATTCCGTGCGCGGATCTTGTTCTTCTTGGCTTCGGCGCCGCTGCGTTTGTCCCCTGTGTCGATGGCGCCGCTCGTTGATGTGTTTGAGGCTCGTCGGGTGCTGCCTTTCTGCCGTGCTTCCGTGCCTGTCTTTGGCGCGACAACGTCTGGCCCATCATCCTCGGAAATCCTCGGTCGTCCCCTGCGTCGCTTTGGAGATTCTATCGCCTCGATTGGTAAAGACGGTTTCGTTTCACTTGCGGAATGGAAAATCAGAGGATCAATCGGTGGGAGTTTCGGTGAGTTTGTGTAGTTGTGTGGTGAGATGACGGAGCTTATTGGTGACGCTAATCCTTCTGCCTGATTGCTGGCAGGAGAATCTTGCCATGAATGAGGACCTTGCCCTTGTGTTGAGGCCGAAGACTGGCGGTCTACTTCAAGAGGAGGATTCGCGGCCGGAACCCGGGGCGAGGCGAAAGTCGATTTTAGATCATTGCTGCCGAATGTCTGTCGTGAATGTTGCTGCTGGTGCTGCTGCTCTGTTTGTGATTGAGATTGCTCAAAATCACTTATAGTCTGGTCTGCATGTTGAAGTTAGGATACAGCCTGAAATATAGAAATATCTAATGGATAACCCACTTTGTTGAGGCAGGCTCACACTACCGCCGGGAAATGCCATCTCGAGCTCTCTTTTCGCTGCGATGCTACTATTACAGGGGACGGCAGGGGGAGAGCAGGGTTGTCTCGAATGGCTAGGCTAGCCTTGGCTGGAGACGAAAGCTTAAGCAAGCAATGGTGGTATCACGAATGTAATACTTGGTGTTACGGATCAATTGTGCGTATTAGATGGACAATAAGCCTCTGGAAGGTATTTGGCGAAAAATAATAACGATTTGAAGAAAGTCGAAAGTGGTTAGAAACGAGAAACACACACACGTACCGCGTCAAGGGGTTCGTGACGAGGTCCTACGATCCTTTTAAAGGAACACAGCACTAATCCGCGGAAGACGAGGTGGGGGGCAAAGAGTCTGTGGTCTTGACCCTGGGCCCGATTAGGACAAGCACCTCATGGCACGGCGGCACCAAGGCAAGACACGGCAGGCCAAGAAGAGGGATCCTGTACGGTGGAACCAGTGCCAGTAACAAGATCAGCGTGTACCGCATTTCGGGTGAGCAGTGCTTCTTGAGAAGCTCGTGGACTAATTAGCGGGGTGGCTTCGGCCGAGCTCAACAAGGTCGAAGAGGGGCCTTGACCCCCGTGAGCCTTGACTTTTGAGGCCTTGCTGTCACATAACAGCTGCCGAGGTGCGGGATGCAAAGAGTGTTTGCCACTATGACGATAAGTAGCGTCTAGGTAGTGTGCAGATTCCCGTCCCTCCTGGCTTGGCTCGGCTATACCAACATACTACTAGCACGAAGAGAAGCGGCTTCAACAAACCCTAGGTGCCTATGTGTTGGCCAGGAACGATGGGGTAGACAAAATAAGGGGAGGTGTTTGCGATGTCAACATGTACGATGACGGAGCGCCACTATCCTACACGGTTTCCGTAACCTGCTTTCGTTTGTAAGGCATGGGGGCGCGGGAGCTTTCCTCCGGGCTTGGAGTTGTACGAGTTGAATCTCAGCCAACGGAGTTGTTTCCGCAGAGCAGTGAACCAATGGGCATGCCTCAATGGCTAGCTTTCGATCAGAGGCATGTCGATCGACCAGGAACTGCTTGCTTGTGCTTGGCTAGTTGGGCCCTTGTAATCCACTAATTAAGATGGAATCACCCTCTTGTTCTCTTCCCCCTCGAAACCCCCGCTCGCTGCCCATGCTCAATCATTCCCGTGGCATACCCACTGTGCCACTTTGATCTACCATCCCGAGTGTCCGAGGTATGCCATTGGGCAATTACCAGAGGAAGCAAATCGGAAATGTGGCTTGCCTTGAAGTGGCGAACCTGCAAGGAGGAGTGTGCCAGTGTGCCTCGGAGCCCCAGCTTGGACGCGACGACGAGCCACAGTTTCGACCCCGCGAGGCAGGTCAAACAGGCTTTCATCTTACATGTGCCGTCGCAGCCACGAGCAGGTGAGTATCAAAATGACCCTTGAAATCTTTGGGGTATTGGCGATTCTCCACCACCGCGTCATCACCGAGTTGCTTCATTGAGATATCTTTCATTGGAAGACGGGGTCTTCTCCGTGGCCCCAATCCCGACGGTTCCTGGGTCAATTCCATTGTCAGTTACTATCCGAGTCCTTTGGTCCTGGGGCCGCATCGTCCTATCTTTGCGGCTTGCCAATGTGTCCGTGGTGCCTTACACTCCAATGAGCGAGCCTTTATGCAGAGCAAGATAATCTGTGACCATGTAAACTCCGATGGAATTCCTGATTTCGATTTGAAAGAATCCCATTCTGCTTAGTGATCACATTTCTGGACCACCACTCGACGCTAGTTTAGCGTACGAGAGAACGTCTTCTTCGGAGCACAATCTCCACGGACATTGAAATTTCTGCCCTTGTCCATCTCCAATTCCTTCCACCCGTGCCACTCATTCCATTCTGCTGCCAAAACGAAGTGTGAAGTGTGGCGCAGTTGACCTTTTTGAGTTGCTGGCAACGAGCATTACACTTTGTACCCTGTAGTTGAGAGCAACTGCTGTATTCGCCATCAATCATGCCATTCAGAATTGGGGCCAATGCCTCTGCTTGACATAAGTAGGCACCTTACTTGGCCAGCCCACCGTCAGCTGATTGGCTTCTAGTATCACTATCCTACTGCAAATCTCTAGCGTACAGTCACAAGGGAATAAGCTAGAGCCGTAAACTCGAACCACAGCTGTGTCCTCCGTTCGGGCCGGTCGGCCTATTCCGCACAAGTTTCACCCGGCTATCAGACTAGCCCCAGAAGTGAGGGGTTTGGAGATGCTTCTACCTAGCTTATCCCACACAGCTCTCCAAACTTTAACCATTGACAGTGAAAGGCCGTCCGCACCTGCAGCTAAGTACGCACAGTGTATCGGTAATGCAAAGCCTGTCTGCTTGAGACGTGCATCTGTAATGCTGTAGCTGGTCTGACTTTTTGATGTCGGATTATGTTCTGGGAGGACAGGAGCTACAGGGTAGCGACTGCATAGCGCTCCCCTTGATAGAAACAAAAGTTCCAGTCTTATCAAGCTTCTGGTATCCTCTGGCACTTGTACCTCAACCTCAAATCGTGCACCCAATTCACCTCACTTTTGCCGTACACGCTTTTCGTAAACACTCGAAATATTGAATCCTTTTTTATCTGATTCCGCGTCCTGCTGCTCGCTCTTTTGGGATTGTGCCCCGATGCCAGCGTCTGAGCCATCTTGGACTTGAACGGACTGACCATTAAGATCCAACCCCCAACCAGGTCCGGCCATCGATACGATAGAAACGAACGCCATCATGGGCAATCACGATGGTCCGATCCAACTTCTACTTGCAACGGTTTCTCCAGGCTCGGCTGGTGTCGCTCTTTTTCTCGCTCTCTTCGCCGAAAACAGGTGCATGCTAGTGTTAAGTCATGCGCTATCTGTGGCTTTGTTTGATTGGCACCAGAAACAGAAGACTCGTGACAACGGTTTTAATGACTGTCGCAAGGGAGATTAGGAACCTGCCACTACGCTCTATTGTTCTCGGTCCAATTGAGTGAGACTAAGCTGCAATTCAGTGGTGCCTTGACACGGATTGTAATTAATTGCATTTACTATGCGATTCGAGGCCCAAAGGCCAGTCTCGAATTTGAGTTGAACACAATATGATATCATGATGAATCGGAGTTTAGGGCAGGCCTGCATATACATGGCTCCTGCTAGAATCGCATGCAGTAGATCGTCAGATGGCTAGCTTGCTTGCTTCATAGCAAAGTTTACGTTGCTCAAAGTCGTATCCATGAATACTTGAGGCGGTAAATGACCAGCCATGATAATGGCCGGTCAGATTGACAACTTTAGGGAGTAAGATTTGCCTCTTGGCTTATGATTCGCTTCGTTGCGTAATATGGTGACAAGAGAAGGACTTGAACGACGGCATATAATTCTTTGGGGGCATCAGGGACTTCGGGTGGCTGGCCGAACTGTCTACCTCCTTGGAAAGCAATGCGCCGCAGTCAAATTAGTTATCAATCCGTTGGTTGTAGTAAGAGGCACAGGTATGTGACATCCACCTACTATATTTCGTTCAACAATTATGACCAACCGTACCACCAACACCAACGCTATTCATATGTGGTGGCTTCACGTCGCACCGTATTCTCGACTTATGCTAACTTCGGATACCCCGTTCTGAAGACATTTTCCGGGTCGTATTTCTGCTTGATCTCCCTGAGCCTTGATAGGGTGTCCTCGCCATATGTTGATACCCAGTCCATGTCCCTTTCAGGACCCAGGTTACGGTTCCCGTATGGAAGCATTTGGCCTTGTTCCGAGAGGGAGTTGACCAAACCATCCGCCCACTTCTTGTACTCTTCATATTCCGCCGCCTGTGCGGTGGTATCGATGACACCACCCGAGGGAGCTGCTATGCGATGCCTCTTACGCAGAGGATAGCAAACTGACGGGTTCGCCTCGATGGCTCGACCATGAGCGGCATGGATAACAGTAGCCGACGTTGCACCCGGTGGTGAATTGTTGCCGAGCGCACTGGCTATCCCTGGAGTGAAATATTCGAACATCCTCAGTCGAGGATACCAGTGGACATTAGTCGGCGAGGGGATTGCATTGAAGAACGTAAAGTCGTCCACTGCAGGCCTGATAAGTTTTTGTCGTCTGTATTGGAGGGCTGCGGTACATACCTTCGGCCACCGTGTTAAGAACTGGCGTACCAAGAGACTTCATCTTCTCAAAGAAAGCCCAACCCTCTCCCAGGTTATCGTTCTCAGACGTCCAAGCAAACAGCCAGGCAAATACGGGACCAACGCCTGGGAGAGCCATGTGAGTAGCTTCGCCAGTGAAGTTGACAGGCAAATCCCTCTCAAATTCACCAAACTTCTTCAGCACTTCGCCAACCTGATCATTGGGAAATCCGAGAAAGCCCGCCAAGAAGCCCGTTTGGGGATACACCTTGAGCTGTAGCTCGACTACGACACCAAAGTTGCCGTTGCCAGCGCCGCAAAGAGCCCAGAGCAAATCAGGATGATCGTTCGTGTCGACGATGTCGCCGTTTGCGAGAACCACACGCGCACTGAGGATTTGGTCCGCGCCTAGCCCATGGTAAGCGCTCGTGTATCCGTAACCACCTCCCATAGCCCAGCCAGCGATGCTGACAGTCGGACACCAGCCGTGGGGGGTGACGAGCTTGTGCTGTTGCAGAAAGTGCGCGAGTTTGATGCCCAGGATGCCGCCGCCAACGCGAACGGACTTTTTGTCCTCGGCGATGACGATGCTATCGAGACTTCTCAGGTCCACGATGACGCCGTCTTTGCCCTGTGCCTGCCCGAATGTCAAGTCGTGCCCGCCATTCCTGAGGCCGAAGGGGATGTCTTGAGCTTTCAGCTCCTTGATGATGGCCACGACTTCGGCTTCGGTCCTCGGCCTGATGATTGCGGACGGCTGTTGGGTCATGTTCGCGTTGAAGAAGCTTCGAACTTCCTCATACTTCTCGGCCGAGTTCGTGTACACCAAAAGATTGGAGAAGTTCGTTGTGAGGGTTTTCAGCTTGGGTGCATCTGAAGCGATTTGCTCCAGCGTCGATGCTGTGGGGTGAGACCCCCGGAACTCTGGTGAAGCCTCAAGTGATGCCATTGTGGTTGACTTCTCGCTATGGAATGTTGGTTAACATTCCGAGGTGTGAGGTCACAACGGCGCTTATGTATGTCCCGTAAATGCTATGTGCGGAAGGGGATCTACTGCCAAAGCGTGCAGCTCTCATCTATGAATTTAAACAGTGACTGCCAATTGGACAGGAACCCGAGAGATTTAGCCATGCTACCGTGGGGGAGGGGCACGGCTAGGCTGACGTGAGATTCAAGCAGGGCAGTATATGGTTTCCTGACGAAAGTCCCCATAAGAGGACGCGTACGGATGGACGTGTGGCCACGTCGCGATCGGTAATAGCCGCAGATTAGTTGAGTAGCTGTCAATCTCATGTCAATTTGATGCCTTCCGAAGAATCCAGAAGGAAAGAGCCATTGTGATACGTCGAGGTCTTGAGCTGTAAATAGTCGGGAGGGGTAACGATAGGCTGGGCTTGGCATTACTAGTAGCTCGAATCGTGAGTTGTGTAATATGCGGCTCGAGATACGCTTGAAACCGATGGTGGATTCTGGACTAGGTGTTCGTAGAAGGTAAGATGGTGCAATCGACTCCCGGATTCAACGTGACGGTCAAGACGTGGTAGACTGGCAATCGACGGCCTCCAACCGCTTCACAATGTCTGCATTAAACCTCAGCAGATCCCAGACACCTAGCCAGCCGGAGTGAAGCTCGCCTACTTCTGTTCAACTGGCATATGCTTGCGTCTCGGGATCAGCATCATGTGCTGGCTCTCGGAATTCTGGCGACGTGCAGTACTAGCTTTTCGAAAACCTTGATACCGGCAGAATCATGGACATTTTCGGTCCAAATGACATCCTCGAGCTTGGCCTTGGCTTCAGGCCATGTAGGTCCCAGAGAGTCTCGCAGATTGGCCAACTTTGGCAAAAGCCAACGGTCGTCCTCCTGTTCAAAGACGGATATGGCACCGATAACAAGACTCCAGGCCAGTAGTAGTTTCGTGGCAGCGCATGTGGAGGCTGATATCTCAAAGTTCTTGCATGCTGACCTGAGCTTGGTAGTCAAGGAGGTGAACTGGAATTTTGCACCTTGGACCTGGAGGAAGAGGGTGGTGATGTAGCTGATCATCGCAAGGCGACCCAGTTCGGCCAAGGCATTGTGTGTTGTCGTCTCCGAGTACAACAGCCGGTATTGAACGCAAGTCATGAACTCTTGAAACAGGTTCGGGTCAATCTTGCGATTGGTATGGTATAGTGCGGTCGCTAGGCGGGAGAAGTCGTGGAGATCTTGGAAGACGTTGCCCAAGCGATTGTCGGCCGCATCCAAGAGAAGTCGTATGCTGGAAGAGCCGGGGCAGATCTCGGAGCCGACAGGGACTTTACCCAGTATAGGGGAAAAAGCAGGCTCCCATGAGAAGGTATCCCGGAAGTAGAGCGGCTTCTCGCCGGTGCATAAACTCCAGCCAATGTCCACCCTTTGCTTCGTCAGATGTTGGGCATGAAATATCGAGGAATGACACGTACCGGCAGATCTTGACCTGTAACTGAAGATTGTGAGAGAAGCTTTCGATTCCGCCCCTCAGCTTCACTATCTGACGCATGCCTTGGATGTGTGCGGCGGCATTGTCGCGCTGGCCGAAGATTTCGGCCACCATACACATGGAGACGATTGTGGCAATGGTCGAGTCTGCCAAAGCCATGTCTTGGTCTGCAATGTTTTGGTTCAACAGCTGGAGTGTCTTCCAAATATGGAAGTTGGTGTGCTTGCTTGGGCTATCTCCTTTGACAGTGTCGTTCATCAATCCTACAGTGAATAAAATCGAGTGCAGAAATGCGGCATCTGTTAGCAGCCAGTAGAACCACGGCGTCTTGCTCTCGTCGTACTGCAGGCACCATTCAATGGGGTACATTGTCTCTTTAACAACGGCGTAGACTATGACCAAGGTGAGCATAACGATAAGTCCAGGGCAGGGATCAAGCTCACATTCGAATAGCATGCCCCGGGAGGCCGCGTCAATATCGTCGGCAAATTGGAACATGTACAAGTCATTGGGTGTGCGGAACACATGCTCGTACCAGGCAATTTTGTAGAGCTTTTGCTTTCTCGGCTCTTTAACGAGAGCAGTGAGTGACTTGGGTGCAGGTGGTTCCTCTGGTTCCTGTGGAGGCTGAGGACTAGTCTGGTTGACCCATTTGGTCGAGCGTTTTTGGCCGCCACGAGACGGGCGTGTATTCTTGCCTCGCATGACATGGCTGCGTATGAGTTTCCGATCGTCTGTCTTGGGCTTTCCAGATGTATCTGTGATGACAAAGGCAAATCCCTTGCTGCCTGCAGTAGCAACGTTAGAGTGGATGATGATGGGTAGATGGATTAGAGATCATACTAGGCCGTTTCTGGTTTCCCATCTTCAACCCAGCGGATCTCAAAAGTCCTAATGCCTCTTCAGGTGAATAACCGAATGGATTTCTCTCTCGTATGTAATCAGCAATGGCTTGACGGAGACCTGACGGAGCTAAGGGTGCAGCCGAAACGAGCTCTGGGATGCTCTTCCAGCTGAGGTTGGAGTGAGAAGACCGGTAGGGAGGAAGAACTGTTTACCCAAAGGGGAAAACAATCGAGGAAATGGGTAACGGAGCGTTCAGAGGCAACGAAGACCAAGCGTAAGACGGCCGGATTTACCCTGCAATCTTGCCTTATCCCAGCCCAATCCCCCCCTCACTACGACAAAGTAAGCCGGCACGACACAACCAAAGTCCCTTCGCCGAGTACTGATTGTTGCCTTCTTCCGGCCTAGCGCCGATCCTTCCGGCCTCAGCCCCGCTCGCTGGCGGCCGCTCCGCCACGTGATATCCGGCGGTTTAGTGGGCCAAGGCACTGGCGGGGGATCCGAACACGCCGTCCACGCCTCCGATTGCTTTCCGGTTTTGGACAAGGCCTGTTTCTCACATCGATTGATGTCCATATTAGGTAACCAGTCGGCATTCCCTTTTGAGATAGCAATCCATCACCAGGCATTCACGATGCCTCAACTTCAGCCATCTCTAGCGTTTCAGTGCCTCTACCCTCCGGTCTACGCGCGTTCAAGTGTGCAAATTGCCTTACGTCCCAAGATTGAAGCTGATCATACCTCAGAAGACTTGAAGGCTATATATTCAGCACGAATCCGACGATGAATCTCAACATGCTGTTCTGTACAGATCAATGCAATCACATCACCAACCGCAACAACCACAACACCTTACTTCTCCTCACATCACCTCACAACTCATCATGACGAGCTCACTTGAACTCACTCCCCTGACCATGGGGCCAGGCAGACTATTCCTCAACTCTCAGTTCTGTGCCACAGTCCGAACACCACCAAAGGACCTCTCCCTCTCCGGGAAGACGGCTATCGTTTCTGGAGCCAACATCGGGCTGGGCTTCACTGCCGCGCGCCAGCTGCTCGATCACAATCTCTCACGCCTCATCATCGCCGTTCGATCCGCTGAAAGGGGAGAGGCTGCCGCAAAGACCCTGAGAGAAAGTCATCCCGACGCTACGGTCGAGGTCTGGTCTCTAGACATGCTCTCATACAAGTCCATCCAGGACTTCGCCAACCGCTGTTCCACCTTGCCCCGGATCGACTACGTCATCTTGAATGCCGGCATGGTTCAGGAAGACTTTAGGCTCTCGCCGGCAGGCCATGAGCAAGTCTTCCAAGTGAACTACTTGTCGACTGCGCTCCTCGCCATCCTTCTCTTGCCAGTCTTGAAGTCCAAGAAAGCCTCAGACCAGCCGAGCAGATTGACAATCGTCAACTCGGGCACCGCCTTTATGGCTAAGTTCCCGGAGCAGGACAAGACCCCTATGATACCTGCATTCGACGACGAGAAGTCTTTCAATGCAACGGATCGGTACTCGACGTCGAAGCTCTTGGGTCACTTCTTCATCATCAAGCTCGCCGAACACGTCCGAAGGGAAGATGTCGTCGTCAACCTCGTCGACCCCGGTCTCTGCAAAGGATCAGGACTTCACCGCCACGTCGGCAGTCTCATCAAAACGATAGCGGAGGTAGGAAAGAGCTTGACGGGAAGAACTCTCGAAGTCGGGGCGTCAACATACCTTGATGCCGCTGTCGTTCGAGGAGAAGAGACTCACGGAAGCTACTTGATGGACTGGAAAATCTTTCCGTAAGTGCTGACTGCCTTTCATCGATAGACCTCGCTAACCACTCGCTGACAAAGCTTTGCCAACATCATCTATACACCACAGGGCAAGACCGCTCGAGAGCAATTGTGGGAGGAGACTTTACAGGAATTGGACTTTGCCGGGGTGCGCTCGATCCTTCGCTCCATGCAGTAGGACTCGCGATAAGGACCTCGCTTCCTTCCGGGCCCTTTTGCCCCGTCAGCCTGGGACTTTGCATTACCTGGGGAACATGTTGGGTCGTATGCAGAAAGTCTAATTGCTGATTGATGCAGTCGCCTCGGATGGATGCAATAGTTTCTGGTGTCAGTCTGCCTGCTTTTGTTGCTGCGTTTCCGATTAGGTGTATTGGGTGGATGGGCTTCGCTTAGATATCTCGCATCATCTTGGGTCATTCCATGGGTATTCTGGTCTACATAGAGTAATGAGTTGACAGTCTCACTTCTGTACTGATTTGTCAGTTCCAACAACGCCCGCTTGTGAACGCCTCGACCGCAGGCAGTCCATCATTATGTGTGGCAAGTGGTGGTGTCAGGATGCTGTGGCGAGCTGGCATGGTGGCAAGCCGTGATCCATGAACGAGGAAATGAGTATCATGACATCTATCTCGAAGGCTTAGAGATAACGATGAATCTCACGCTATGATTCATCTACTGAAGTCCCAATCCTTCATATCGGATGAACCGTCTGTTACGGCGCAACTGGCAAGTGCAGGAAGGCAGAAGAGGTGTGTAGATCGAAGCGAGAGCTCACCATAAGGCGCAAGATCATCGATATACTGCGTCTTCGTCGGTGCAGTGGACACCATCTAACGCCGTCTCGCAGTCCACGAAGGTCTGGTCCCGGTACCAGAATCCTGTAGCCTGGCTACGGCAAGTCCCTGCTTGACATGATAGCTTACGCCAAGGTGCCTCACCACTTACTCTCGGTTGATGTGGCAAAGCACCTTCTTAGTTGAGATGGTACGTTGTATTGCTATACAAAGTGAAGGGGGCTAGGCTCGGCTCCCCCAACGGAGAGTGAGCTTCCAACTTTGCATTACAATACTCCGGAGAACAATGGCATAGCGACCCGTGAGAACTAGCAAACGATCCTCAAGTCTTGGCGATCTTGCCTTTCGGATGGTTCGCGATAGGGTATCACCGGTTGAGTGCCATCACCGAGCTGTCGGATACGTTCACTCGGGGTTTGTCTTTGTCCTGAGATGGAAGTGATATTGCAGCCGAACGTCACCGGCGTGCGGTTCCAGCCCTCTTTTCGAGGTCCCTCGACTTGTACGTAGCTGAACGATGAAGCGGTACGATGACCACTTCTGGGCCTGCGCCCGCTGCCAAGGCGCCGCATAATTTGTAGAAAGCTTCCTAGTTCCAACATACCTTTCTGGCACTCCGCAGGCCAAGAACAGACCGAGCCAGGGGGCCGCTGCGGATGACCCTAGGGCCAAACGACCCTGACGATTCCGCACGATGGATGTCTGTCAACTCCAGACGCAAAAGGTCTACGGCGATTCCTCAGCTCGCCTGGCGGAATATCTTCCAAGACTTTTCCAAGACGGCAAGATGCGCCCATACGAAGCATTGGCATCGCCAAGGAGAAAGCCAAGTTGCCGCGAACCGAGGATTCTGCAGTGGTTCACGCATCGTGGGTCTTGGAAGAAGTGTCGTTTGAGCCTCTACAACACAGTCGTCCAGACGAGCGTCAAGAATGTAATTTATCAAGGGGAAGTAAAAGTGCCCTTCAATTCTTGTTATTCAGAAAGCCATCTAGGCTAAAGGTTAAAGGGTTAGTGGGTTAATTTGCGCCAAGAGGCCATTTCGAACTCACATCGAATACGGAAGCTTCCTAACAGTCGCCCTGGCGCATGACTGACGATTTCAACTATGAGGATGCAAGCTATTCGCGTGGTTCATGACTTCTTCACGAGCTGCCACATCTGCCGCCTCGCCGCCCGAAGAGCAAGAAATGGAACCAAGGACATGGCTCGCGATGGCCCAGCGCGGAGTCGCGCCGCACAAACGTCCCTGACGTCTCTTGGCACGCTTAACAAAGTGCCCGCTTCGATTGCGAGCACATAATGAATGATAAGGGATCACGCGCCTATTGCGATAACAGTGGAGGGAATTACACCATGTCAGGTTGGCCAGCATCCTTGATGCAACATCAGGTTCGCAACGCGCGGTGTACCCAATCGCAGCGTCGGTTTTTGACCTGCCGAAAGAAGACCAGTGCCGGTCGGGAATGTACTCTTGCGCGAACGACAAAGCAACGGACGGAAAAGCTGTTGGCTTGTCGTGCGTGTGCGGTCTTGAAAATGGCGGGTGCCTCGTCCCTGCAAGCCAAGACTTCAATGTCACAGGGCAAACGCTGCGGCCAGCTGTGATTTCGAGGGCTTATCATCGGCTCGTGAGCTGGCGCGAAAGCATCATGGTCCGGAGGGAGTTCCGCACCGGCAATCCTACCGGCGAACACCTATGAGGTTTGTATCGTATCCGACGCAAGTCCGACGTCCATTTGGAATCGAGATGTGAAGTGCTCATTGTCGGCGAGCGCTTTGGGAGGAGTATGTGTAAAGAAACATCCGTGAGCGCAATGTCGAATGCTTGTTAGTATTTCCGTACTGCGTAGGGTATAGACCACACAATCGACAGCAATCTGGCCCAAATCGCACGGAATTACTAGCCAATCCAACGGCAGAAGACTGACAGGGATGACTGATAGGACGCGTTGCTTGATCCATCTAATAAGCTGCCGATGTTTGGCGCCAGTCTGGTTCGAGCATGGATGGTGGCCGTCAAAAAGTTCCTCCAAAAGCAGTATTCTGCGTCCCTCCGACCGCCCCCCGCCCAACTGGCTGAAGTTCTGAACACAGATTAATCAACTTGCCACCTTGTGGCTGGTCGGATGATACCACTCCTCTTTGTCCACGGCTTTTGAATGGTCAATCCGGTTGCAAATCCTCCGTCCATCTGGCTGATAAGAGTTGGAGCGGCTGGCTGGGGGAGAGAGAGAGGGGAAAAGGGACAGACAGGGGTTGGTCTCCGTAGCGGAGCAGGGCTGCATTGTTGGATGGGGGGACAACAACGATACCCTCTGCCTCACTCTCAAGACTCAAGAGTCAACTCTGATGTTGAATAGACGTGAGGCTCTGATAGCTTCAGCGCCTCTCTTGAAGGCTGCAGAGATGGTGTGCATTTCCCCGGACGGTGACAAGCTTTCGGGCAAGATCTCTTGATTTTTCTTGTCCTTCTTGATGGCAGGTCTTGGACGTCTTGGACGCTCTTGGGAGACCTGGGGGATGTCGTGAAAGTCTTGGGCAGCGGGCTTGGGCAAAGCTTGGGGGGTCTTGGGGGTTCTTGGGAGAGGGACGCCACGTCCAGGGTCCTTCGATCATATCCTTCTTGAGCCATCACCGCGAACTGCCAAGCGCCTCGAGTCGTCTCTGCCGTCGACTAGCGTGTCAATGGGTGAAGGGAGAGCGGCAGCAAAAAGGACCGAGGGCTATCAAGTCGAGTGGCCGTTCCCTCCACCAAGACCATCCAGTGCTAGCCATCCACACCATCCAACTAGACTCTAGAGGACGAATTAACCGTTTTCCACCAACCTTCCGTGCTTCTTCGACGCCGTTTTGACGGTGCCTCCCGCTCTCGCCTCGCTGCGGCAAACACCGCTGGAATGTTGTAGTGTAACGTCGTGGCTTCCGACTAGCTCGTCTCTTCGTGCGTTGGTGAGGTGCTTCTGCATTTGCATTGTCGTGCCCACCAGCTGAGGGAAGCGAAGCGGCGCAGCAATGTAACCAGTGATAAGCTGTAACGACCGAGAGCCCATTCGTAGAATCCTAGGTACAGGTACGGATACGGTTATGTAGGTCTCGATATTCCATAGAGACACGATCGATTGATCGATGCTCTCACAATGGAAAGCCAGGCTGATGATGGATGGGATGCCTCTCCACCCCGGCCCTCACGTCTTATCGTGGGCTCATTTGAACCACCGCACAGAGTTTCTTTCTTTATTCTTCCGGAGCGGCTCCCTCCCACATGCCAGTCCCACCAAATATGCTTCTTGGCGGGAGCACAGTGAAAGGGTAACACTTTCACACGCGACAGTGCACGGCCAATGCCGAGAGGGATCCCCGGATTGGTATTCGTATGTATACGGAGTCGGTCACTCGCCTTGCCACCAGCATCCCCCCGCCACTGCCATATTGCCTGCTCAGAGCCTGAGATTGGACATTGATGAGGGCAACATGGATCAAATGTCTCTACACGGCGTAAAAGCTGCGTAATACCAACTCTATCCCATCAGAGACTTGATCGACCAAAGCGAGTGAGACACGGGCTGCTTCCTCCTTCTGTAGGCTGGTGTGTCGCACCACACGATGAAGCCATCGCGATTGCGACGGGGGGCGGATTCGCAAAGGGCCCAACGTCCAAGATACTCCGTACCATTGGCAGACCTGAATCTCGCGAAGACTGCAGCCGCATTCGCTCACGTTCAAAAAGTCCCCAAAAGACATCTCCCCGCTATTGACATCTTGGACCTGCCATACTGGATCAAGCCACTCGAGGGCCCAACTGCTTGGCATCACCAACGGAAGCGCACTTGACCCCCCAAATAGGCGTTTTCCTGCGTGTTGGCCGCCCTGCTTAGTCCACGGGAAAGTCCAGCAGCTGGTGAGCATGTAATCCTCGTAGCCAGGCACACCAGGATCCCTCATCTCTGGAGGTCCATCTGCGCTGTGGGTTCCTGGGTCAGTGGGTGCCGAATGCAACTGGACCCCGGTGGGTGGCCGGGAGGAGGAGGAGTGGGAGGAGGTGGGGTTTTCCTTTCCGCCCATCGGCCCACGACTAGGAGTCTGGAGTCTGAAGGACACCAAGGGAGAAGAAGGCAGAAAAAAGGACGAACTGAGCCGGCATGTTAGAACGACATCTGAGGCATATGGTTCGTTCGAAGGAAGTTTGTATCTCTGTACGTACTGGGATAGACGCTGTGATTCTCTCTTGTTGGTCTTTCTCACTCTCTCACTTCCTCCATGTCATCGTCTCACAACCTCTCATCTCATCCTATTCTTTCATTGCAGCCGCCCCCCGGCAGATTGCGCCCAATGCGGCTATAGTGCGAATGCAGACCGATCCCTCCTACCGCGTCCCAGAACCTTTGATATCGGTCTTGTCGCAATGCAGAAGGTAGACCTCCCTGTCACAAGGGTTGCACTGGTGTCTCCGGACGCACAAGCAGAGGAGGGAGGGTGACGGGCTGGAGGTCCAGCCCTGAACATGATCATCCCTGCCACCTCAACTCTGAATCCAGAAAGGGGAAGCTCACTGGTTCGACTGGCCCAGCACCATCTCGGCCTCCCATCTATGTTAGGCGCATGGGGGATCTCTGCTGTTACCTGTATCCTCGGGATCGTCTCGTGGCGAAACTGGGACCACCGTCGTGTCCGTTCGTTGCTAGGCCGTTGGAAACCCTTGGCTCCACCGTCGATAAGCATCCGGTTGTGTGACAAGGATGGCCGCCTCGTGGCTCTTGGATATTAAAAGGTCGAGATGTCCTCGGTTCCCTCCACCCGCCTTTCGTCTCTTTCTCGGTCACTGGCAACTTTCCAGCCCAAGCGTCCACGGGTCCACCGAATCAAGCTTCTACAACCTTTTCAAGGTGAAGAATACTGACCCAGTGCATCAAAATGTCCGACATTCGTGAAGAACGGGCCCCCGTCCACCAGGGCGGTGTGGTCTCGAACGAGAAGGTCTCGACCGAAAAGACTGCTCCTGTAAGTTGGTCTGGATGTCGACGAGCATCAACATACCTCTCCACTGGTGAACCATATGCTGATGTCTTCCCTCAGATCGTCGATGCCCACCCCGATGGTGCCGACTACAACGAACACGTTGAGCACGACTTCAACGTCACCGAGGATGATTTGCTCGAGGCCAAGGAGCTCGCCTCGCAGATGTCCCTCGAGGAGGTCCGCGAGATGATGTTCAACGTCCACAAGATCCACGAGAAGGACCCCAACTTCCCCATCGCCATTATCGAGAAGATTGAGGACTTCCTCCACAACGATGATGTCTTTGAGAACCCCGAGAAGCACGAGACTCTCATTCAGGAGATGAAGCTCGAGGCCGCCCTCATCACCGGTAACTCGCCCTACGCCGAGGTCCGCGCCGTCGTCGACAACCACGACGACCCCACCATGCCCAGTTCGACCCTCCGCGCCTGGGTTATCGGTCTCGTCTTCTCTGCTCTGCTCGCCTTCGTCAACCAGCTCTTCTCGGTCCGCTACCCGTCCATCACCATTCTGGCCAATGTTGCTCAGTTGCTCGCCTACCCCTTGGGTAAGCTGTGGGAGAAGTCTCTCCCCGATGTTGGATTCACCGTCGCCGGCCACCGTTACTCGCTGAACCCCGGCCCGTTCAACCGCAAGGAGCACATGCTCATCACCATCATGGCCAACGTCGCCTACAACATCCCCTACACCAACTACATCATCTGGACGCAGTGGCTGCCCAAGTTCTTCAATCAGAGCTACGCTGCCAACTTTGGCTACCAGCTTCTCATCTCCTTGTCGACCAACTTCATCGGATACGGTCTTGCGGGTCTCTGCAGAAGATTCCTTGTCTACCCCTCGTACTGTGTGTGGCCGGCATCCTTGGTCACCATTGCCCTGAACTCTGCTTTCCACACCGACAAGAACTCCACCGTCGATGGCCCCTTCAACAGCATCTGGCGCTGGAGCAGACAGAAGTTCTTCTACATCACCTTTGCCGCCATGTTCGTCTGGTTCTGGTTCCCCAACTACCTGTTCACGGCTCTGTCCACCTTCAGCTGGATGACCTGGATCGCCCCCAAGAACCGCAACCTCGCGACAATCACTGGCTTCAACAGTGGTCTTGGTCTCAACCCCTTCCCCACCTTTGACTGGAACATCCTGTTGTACGACAACACCGACCCTCTCATGGTCCCCTTCTTCTCCACCTTCAACAAGTTCCTCGGCACCTTCATCTCCATGTTCGTCGTCTTGGCTGTTTGGTACACCAACACCTACAACACCGGATACCTGCCCATCAACTCCAACAAGGTCTACGATCACTTTGGCTCTCTGTACAACGTCTCCCGCGCCGTCAACGAGCACGGTCTGTTTGACAAGGAGGCGTACGAGGCGTACTCTCCCCCCTTCTTGGGCGCTGCCAACGTCATGATCTACATGTTCTTCTTCGCCATCTACACCGCCACCATCACCTACGCCGCTCTCTACCACCGTCACGAGATTGCCCTTGGCTTCAAGGCTCTCATCGGTAGCTTCAGGAAGAACAGCGACATTGAGAAGGACCAGGTCCTTGACGTCCACAGCCGTCTGATGAAGGCGTACCCCGAAGTCCCCGAATGGCACTACCTCACCGTTCTCGTCATCGCCATTGCGTTGGGCTGTGCTGGTATTGCTGGTTGGCCCACGTACACCACCGTCGGTGTCGTCTTCTATGGTATCATTCTCTGCATGATCTTCGTCGTGCCGGTCGGTATCATCAAGGCCATGACGGGTATCGAGGTCACCCTGAACGTGCTTGCCGAGTTCATCGGTGGTTCCTGGGTCGAGGGCAACGCCCTGGCCATGAACTACTTCAAGTCCTTTGGCTACGTCACTTGCGCTCACGCCGTCTGGTTCTCCAACGACTTGAAGCTTGCCCACTACGTCAAGATCCCCCCTCGCCACACGTTCTGGGCTCAGATCGTCGCGACTTTCGTGTCCACCCTCGTCTGTCTCGCCGTCCTGAAGTTCCAGATGTTCAGCATCCCGGGTATCTGCACCGAGGACGCCAAGTTCAAGATGACCTGCCCCGGTATCAACACCTTCTTCACCGCTTCTGTCCTTTGGGGTACCGTCGGTCCCAAGAAGATTTGGGGTGCTGGCGGCCAATACACTGCCACCCTCCTCGGCTTCCCCCTCGGTGTCGCCATCGTTCTCTTCTTCTGGAGCTTGAACAAGTTCTTCCCCAAGTGGAAGTGGGTTCGCCAGATTCACCCCGTCGCCATCATGTACGGAGGTCTCGTCTGGGCCCCTTACAACATGTCCTTCGTCTGGCCCTCCGTCCCCATTGCCTACTTCTCCTGGGTCTACCTCAAGAGCCGCTTCTTGGGTCTGTGGTCCAAGGTCAGTTGCTTCCCTGCCACCGCTATTCGTATTCTAAGGCTAACACTCACGTTCAGTACAACTTCGTTCTCTCCGCCGCTTTCTCTTGCGGTATTGCCATCTCCTCCATCATCATGTTCTTCGGCCTTCAATGGCAGGACATCGAGGTCGACTGGTGGGGCAACTCAGTCGTACGTTTTTTCCCGGCTCCCAACGTGATCTTAAAAGAACACTACTGACATCACTCTCCTCACAGGTCAGCCAGGGCTGCGAAGGCAAAGCTTGCCGTCTGCTTACTCTTGCAGAGGGCGAGTACTTCGGTCCCCGCATTGGAGACTTCCACTAGACGTGGAGTTTTCCTTCGTGTTGCGCAACCAAGTTGTGCTTGTGGCTTTTTGTTTCGAATTTCAGCGCATGTATGATGTGATGAAAAGAACGTGGGGACTAGAGACATCGTGGACTCGTACCTAGAAGCGGTGTTTATAATCAGCGGATGTAACGATTTGAAGGATGAAGAAATACCCAACCATTCATTTATGACTTAGTGGAAGAATGCTATACCCCCATTGAGCAAGCTCAGTTTCGCCTTTACCCAATGTTTCTTGATGTTGTGTCATGCGTCTCGAGGTGAGGCCAATTCGGTCATTCTGTTTAGGCATCCTCATCTTACCGCCACGTCGATCCAGCAACACCGGCAAGTGACTGCTCTCGTAAGGAATTGGCCTCATTTTGTGTGTTTGAATCCCAATAAATCATGCTTGTTGTGGCCATTTCAATTCCCTTGCGTTCACTTATCCCCAGGGCCGTATATAACGAGAATCACCAATGCCGATGCCGCGGGGTCGGCAGTCGCTCGGTACCGGGCCGGCGTGGCTATGCTGGAAAAAGAAAGCCTCATTGGGTCGCTTAGATGATGCCCATGATCAATCCACGATCTCGGAGAACAAGCTCTAGGTCTAATGCTTGGGATTTGACTGACTTTGACGACTCGTTACTGAAATGTTGGGCCTGGAAACGTTGGTGATATGGCTCTCGAATAACCAGAGCCCGATATTAAGGCTCTAGATGTGGCAGAATTTGTCGGCATCCTAGGTCGTTGTATTAGCCTTATATTATTCGGTGTTGAAATTCGATTGAAGCACAAGTACACGTACTCTCGACGACCTGCCATGCACAAAGGAAGAAAAAGCGTGACACTAGACTTTTCCCTGTAGGATGGCGACGACGAAGTCAGTCGGGTCCATGGAACAAGAAATCCTTCGACTGGATAGACTCCATCTCTGTGGTTTACCTATCCATGCCTGATAGTTTGTGGGAGTCATCACGGCTTTCGCTTCGTGCCTCGTCTTCCTCATTATCGACTATCAGCAGGCCTGGTGCAATCGAGTTGGGCCTGACATTTGCTGAAGGAAGTTTGTTGACCGCACCTTTGGGCCTCCGGGTATCAAACGAAGTCGTCGATACTTTTCTTCAAATTTACACAAGGCATGAGATGAACATACGAATAGTACCGGCGCCAGGTATCGACCCAAGTAGTCAAACATGATAACGGGAACGTCCGTTTAAAGGTGTAAGCCTCTTCAACATGAACCAATCCAGCAATTTAATAAAGTTATGAGCTTGGCCAATCAAGACGTATATTGACGATATTCTAGGACCAACGTTAGCCCGGCTTACATGGGCGTCTCGGCTGCTGACTGCCTCACCGGGCGACTACCGAGCCGTCAGCGTTGCCCTTGCGGCTTATGAGCTGTTGAAGTCCATGTGTTTGACTTTGATGCCCGTTTCAACAGTCTTGATAGTCGGATTTTCTCCCATTCGACGAGGTGGGCGGGGCTTATCGTCAGGTGGACTCCACGACGAGCACAACTGGGCCGCCCGAGCAGGTCGGCAACGCTTGATTCCAGGATGCCAAGGCTTCGTGGAGCATACATGATATTCTCTTATCTTATAGAAGGGCAATAGTCTGCCTTGGCGGTGCTTTATTTTACAAGTAAGCACCGGTCGAAATCGCCCGAGCCGAGCAACAACCAAGGAGGCCGCGTTGTGGAATAGGCACGCTGCAGTCCTAGAGGTATGCCGAGCATGAACGTTCGAAGCTAGAACATCTACTTCAGGGGCGCCTCCTGGTGAGGGTTGAAGAGGAACACCATGGAAATTCGACTATCAGAAGTTATAGCCGATTTCAAGGCCGTCCTTCTGATATGCCCATCCAAGCCCAACAGCCCTCTGCACAATACAAGGTACACGGTAAATTGCAAGAACTATTGATTATCCATGACATTATGGTCTCGTGAGTCTTGAGATCCCATGCCAAGACAGCCTGGGACACCCAACCCAAGGTACGGGTGAGGCAGCGCCGTCAGAGGCATCACCCTATCCTCCTAGCAACGTAGCCAGTTCTGTCCCGTCAGATTCTTGAGGAAAATTTTCATTTTTCCCGGAATTTTCCAAGGTTATGCGTCTTCCATACTTCCATCGAGACATGTAATCAAAGCAATCGCCGGCCATCGGCTACCCACTGAGAAACGGACCTCGCAACGGCCGGGCTCCCCGTTCCCGGCGAAGAACTCCGTGAGGCCTTGATCTGGCATGAACCCAATGATATGAAAATGGCGAACATCCAATTCAAGGAAAAGCAGATAGAAAATCTCTCGAGGCCTCACCAGTGATCATGCCGTCACGCAGGTATATATTCAAGCTCATGACCACCCTTTCGCCGCCCTAGTTGTTCCTCCCAACCTCCTCCATCCCTTACAGCATCAGTCATCCGCTTACCCATCGTGTCACGGCACGTTCGCTCTCTCACAAATCGGGGAGTTCATGACCACGTAGCGACACTGATGGCAGAATGACTTTAACCCAGAGGTTAATCCATCGGAAGCGAGGAAGCTCATGGCGACCGAGGCAGCCACCGTCAACAGCAAGAAAAGCAGAAGGGGTTCGGCACGTCCCCTCTCCGACCGTCAAGAACAAGGTTTTTGTCTGGGAGAAGCCCAAGAGCCACTGTCTGTCGCCAGCATTGTTCCGCAATGCCAGCTCGCGCGAGACACCAAGATATCGGAGCGAGATGAGCTGCTACCACGGAATCAACTGTAGTGTAAAGGATCAGTATCCAAAGCAGCGGCGCCGATGTACGCTGCTCGTCCCCTTTGACATTCCATCATTGTAGATGCCATTGTACACGAGAGGAAAAGGAACCTGTTGCTGCTCCTGGATCGCATGATCGCCTTTACCCTGCGAGCATGGCTATGAAAAAGAGGCAAGTCACTTCACACTGAATGTTGGAGCATTGCCAGAAAAGATCAATAGACTATTCTGAATGCTTCGTTCCTAAAGGTTTCCCTTCATCTGGGTGGAAGTCGCGTAGACATGCCCTTCGATGGCGGCAGCTATACAAACACCCGGACGAGCATCGCCGCATTTCACACAGCACAAGAGAATAATGCGTGAAATAGTCGCGAGATTGCACTGTAAAGATTAGTCTGGGTATTATATTTATTCAGGTAGATGGTCTAGTGATATTCGAGGTTATACAGATATCGCTGTCTCTGTGTGATGCATCAATGCGCCCAGCATCACGTCACCCGCAGAAGTCAACAAATCGCGCCCATCGTCGCGGCGCACCTACGGGAAAGGACAGCCCGTAGGTCTACCAGGTAGCCAGCATTCAAACACAGACTCACCTTTGCGAAGGCAAATTCACAAAAGCCGGAATCAAAGGTGCGGTACCCCATCAGTATCAGCAAAACAGCACGCACCATCGCTCGAGAAGCAACACCCATTCGTGTCAGAACAACGGCACCCGAGTAAACAGCATCCTCTCCTAGTCGAAAAAAAAAAACATAGACACCTACCGCTCTCGCTAATGCAACCACCAAGTGCATCCCTCAGCGCCGCTTACCTGTCCTCAGTTCCGCGTCCAGTGTTCACCGGCAGCGTCTTCGCATACCCCGCGTCGCCGTGGCCGCCGGCGCCGTTGGTCCCCTGCACCCCGAGCCGCGGCATGAGCTTCCACCCCCTCCACGACCACCACCACACTCCTCCTCATCGTCGCCTTCGAAACGACTGCGTGCGCTCAGCGCTTCTTCATCGATCCTCGCCAGGTTGATCGACGGACACTAGATGACTAGAGGAAGAAAGGCGGGGTAAGGTCGATTAGCGGTAGGGGCAAGCTTCGCGGATGCGGAGGTGGAGCCGGTCAGAGACGGCTCATACGGCGGAGGTGAGTTGATGATGCACTTGAGAGTAGGCAGACTGCAGACTGGGACAATAGACTCGAAAGTGCTGCTCCTCGTCATCGCCCCCATGCGTGAGGGATCGTCTGTCGCTGGACGTCACGCGGGTCCTTAATCCGGGCGATTTGTCGTAAATGTCTCTGATGGATCCATAATTCTGTACAGATAAGTCAATCGTAGTTATTTTAGATTTGTACCTTGATACCTAGGTGTTCGTCTGTCCAATCGCCCGGGGACTGATTCGTTCGCGGCCAGCTTCGGATGTGTCACGACCTGACCATTTTGGCGTGGAAATCGCGGGGAAATGGAGCCCGGCTCTCTCTCTGCTCCAGCGCTCGCGTGCGTGAAGTGCGTGCGCAATGCGCAATGCGCCGCCGTGCGGGCTGGCGGGTTCCTTTTTTCTTTGGCTGGGAGAGTCTGGAAGTCTGGAACCTCTGGAGACGGGAACGTGGGAAACTGGAGACAGGCAGCGAGATGAGATGCCGATGTGGAGATGTCCCGAGCTCGACTCTTCAAGTCCGTACGTAATGAGATGTCGGCAAAAGTGGTTTTGATCAAGTAATGGATGGAGTTTCTTTGCTGGAGTTACCAAACTTCCAAGCCGTGGATTCGCGGGGAAAGTGGTTTCCGGGGTAAAATAAACGAAGTATGCGTCAATTTCTTCTTTGTCGATTCCGAGTTCATGCCGTTGTCGTGAAAAGCAACGTCTTCTCACTTCTTTCATATCATCCACCTCGGCAGTCTGTCTGTCTGTCTGGGATAAAGTGCGACTGCGACTGCGACTGCGACTTCAACGTGGCTTGCTGCAAAAGAGCGGCACGGCGAGAGAAATCAGTCTTCGACGCCGGGCCCGTTGGTGCTCATTGGCGGCTGAACGAAATGGGTGACGCAAATCAAAATCCATCTTGCATCCGATGCCGACTGACGTTTTCCGATAGACACCTACAATCCTGACGCGACTTAATCTCAACGTGCCTTGCCCTCATAGGTCGCCGATCCGTTGACGCAGACGTAGATCCTTTGGTGCTTGTCTCAGAGGAAATTCCTCCACGTCGACGCCGGCCGGAATTTGAGGTACCTAGATACACCCATCACCCGGCTATCTCATCTCGGTGACCGGATGAAGCTCGACTTTTGGGCTCCCCTCACGGAAAGCATCAAAAATATCCTAGCCAAGACTAGGCCAAATGTGAATAGTCGATAACCAACGTCTTTCTGCGCCCTGCAGCCTCATAGGGCTTCGGAAATCATGCTAGACAAGTTGTCCGCTCGGGGGGGTTGAAGGGGGAGGGGGAGGCCTGGCCTGGCTTCTACTGCCTATCTAAAGTAGTCATCCGCTCGGCGTGAGGGAGCATCAAGAGATAAGAAGCCGCCGCTATGCTACCGAATCAACCGGGAGGCAAGGCAAGGCAAGGCAAGGCCAGGAAAGCGCATCGTCGGCCAAGCCGTCCTCCCTTCCCGCCGCCCTTCAGGCTGCGCTGCGGGCGTTCAGCCCTGGAAGATGAGCTTGCCAACCGGAAACCTTTCCTCCTCCAAGCCTAGAGTGTTTGTGTGTGCGTGTGCCTTATCAGTCTGCAGCAGCCCTTGGCCATGCCACGGCGATCAATCAAACGGCCCAAGCCTCCGGGGGAAACCTGGGCTGGCGGCAGCGGCATTCCTTCTTCGTCATCGCACTCCCAAAGACCGCAGGCCGCAGGCGAACGGGTAGATAGCCAGGGCTTCAGTGTCCAGGACCACGGTCGCCTCGCCTTCAGCTTCGATTTCCGAAGAGACTAGGCGATCGAGTCTGACGCCATCTTGGCGCATGAGTAAAATGTCCGAAGCCGTCGCTTTTCAACGCCTGTTTTTCAGCTGGTGATGCTACTATTGGTGTGCGGCAACAACAACATCAACGACGCATCAAACGGAGTCTGCTGCTGGACATGATGTTTTCCAACGGACCACCTATAATTAGATAATCAATCGAAATAAGGTATTTGCTGCACGGACATCGTTTGTCGTGAACTCTAAGGTACCCCCCGAATGCGAGTCTTCGAGGTTCTACTCGCGACAACTCCGAGTCGTTCGTTCTCGTCGGATGTCGATCAGTTCATGATAGGAACCAGCACGGATGAAGGGCGCGGCTGCTCTGCTGACAGTCGTCGACGCTGATTTCCGATATCAGCCAAACCCCGTAGCCATGTGAGATTGTCCCACCACACAGAGGGAAGAGTCCCCCAATTCGAAGCGGGTCCTTGAATCCATTCGTTGCGATCTTCGGTCAGTCCGAATGCAGGAGACCCTCGTCTCGTCTCGTCTCTCGTCCCACCCACATGTCCGTACCTACATAGTGCTACAATTAAACTGGAGTCTGGAGAGATAAGAAGCGAGAGCAGAGGCCAACGTCAAACGCACGCCATTACGTACAAAATTCTTCTCGCGCGCGAATGGGCACTTCACTTGGCTTCCCCAGAGGATGCTAATCCATCGCCATGGATTGGATTCATGGTCCGGACACTGCCCACTTCCTCCACACCTGCTGTCGAAAGAAAGCGTGGGCCATGGCACGGCGGCGGCGTGGATGGCTTCACCACGCATCACGTAGGGGTACAACGAGTGTCTTTGAGAAAGTCAATCTGCCGCCAATTTCAAAACCAACAAGACGTTGGTGGTGTGTTTCTGGTAGCGCAGCGCCTCTCGGTCCTAACCGAGGAATCGAAGTCCCTACCACTGTGACCTTGTCACGCCATCAAGCGCGCTTTACTCTTGGCCCTGTTCGCCAGGCTCAGGGCTGTTCGGTTACCGTGTGGCTGCAGTAGGCACGTAGTCGGGATGGACCGTCGCCGCCTCATCAAATCTGCCCATAAACTCTGCGAGCTTGCATAGCAAAAGAAGCGCTAATTTGCATCCGTAAGGTAGTCACTGACTGATGCAGCCAAGGAGGCATGGAAAGGAGCTAGTTGCCGCTTCGAGGCCTCTTGACACGGAGTAATCTCGAATACGGGGCGTCTGCGACTGCCGTGCCGCCAATGTGGGTAATTTCTCATCATTACTGCCTGCCTCCTGGGGCTGGGAATGTCATGATCGCGTTGGCGCTGCAACCAGACGCGGACTATTATACTGCAAGCCTGAATAGTTCGGCGAGATTGTTTGGACGAGCTGTTCTCTTCATACTGACCGCAAGAGAAAAGGAGAAGAAAAGAAAAGTGGCTTGTTCATCGAACGGACGAAGATGTTTCTTGAGATGCGTCCACGTTGAAGTCTAGATGAATTCCAGCGAGCTCGCTCGAAGGATGACTACTCAGACAAGAGCTGTATGTAGCACTGTGAGATGCGGATGTACTGAGTCGTGTACGGAAACTCATTGCTCCATGTCGTTCAAATCCCAGTCCAAATAGCGCGTTCATGGCGACCGTACGAATGGAAGATTAGGTTGCCTGCAATTGCGTGAGAAATTCGCGCTTGCGGCTTCATCCCAGGCCCAGGGAATTCCCTCTCCCGAGTCTCCCCCTCACTCCCCTCTCCCCCTGACCGACACCGCAGCCGGACTCACCTGGGTCAGCACACGCTCCTGGCTGTTTCCCCGAGTTCACCCCAATTAAACTGGACCCAAGTTAGCTTCCTCGAGCAAGGGTACGGATACATGGTGGGTACGGCAGCCCAATGTTCGAACTGGATCCGCATATGTGTGGTGCTTCTGGCGTTGGCAGTGGGATCCATGATCCTGCGGCGTAGATAAGCATCCCGTTTCGAACTTCCACCTGTTTGATACTGGAAGTATAGATAACGAAGCAAATGACTTCATATGCTGACTTTGTGGGTGCGACTCGCGGGAGTCTCAGCCAGAATCACAATGCCCCTCAGATTAACAAATCGAGATGCAGCGAAGCGTGTGAGTGATATTATTGGAGGGAGGACCCGATGGAAGGACGCTAGAAGGACGAGTAGAAGGTCTTGATCTGCCTGGCCATGCAGCGATGCTGGGATTCGCATGTCACCCGCCGCCCAAAGGATGCGACCTACTGCAGCCATTGCAGAATGGTGGTCGCAGGGGATGATAGGGCGTTGGCAGTCGCCAATGGCTAGAGACCGAAATGACCGATATTCAGAGTCAAGCAGGTTATTGGAACTGGCGGAGCGGGGGTCGCAGACATGTGGTGCTGCCACCATCGACCTTCCTGGTGCGAGAGACTAGAAGTCCTGCCCCCTTTTGCCGTTCATACTGGACGACTGACTAGGAACCAAAGAGTAGGTCAAAGTAAGCACATAGGTAAGGTAGCCAGGCAAGTAGGCAAAGCTGGCGGCGCATTGATGGCTGGTTCGAAACGTGACGGTCTATGGGATGAGCCGTGAGCACCATCAAACAGCTTATCGCATTGCCACCTGTCAAGGTCGGTTGATGTTGGTTCCGAAAGCACCGCATCTCCATCGACACGCAGCGGCACATCACCAGACGCAAAGGCGACATTGGGTCATCAACCCTGTTGTCGAAGAGGAGTGGCTATTATCACCTACGCCTCTTTACCCGGGGAACTGGTAGGACCTCTGCCGGATGGGGGTTTGTCGCAGACGTATCGTGTCTAGTCAACCATATTACATTACAACCAACTGTCGCAACCGACACAGCCGCGCGATAGGGCCTACGCCGGCGACGACGCGAAGTTGTCGTGTTCTGCAGGGAGGAATGGGAACACCGGGAGCTATCGACCAGGGGTGGGACCGATTCCACCTGCTGCGCAAGGTAGTACTCTTCCCCTGCTGATTGCAGAAGAGAAAACTCCCCGTTCCAACTATCTGTGATCGAAACGAAACGCAGTGCTGAACCGGCAGGCCGCATGCCCTTGGAACCTCTCCTCATTTCTCTTGCGCAAAGACTGGTTCGACAGGATTTCTTCATTCGAAAAGGAGCCATGACGTTGCGTGTATCTGTCGCATCGGATAATTTGCACTATCACAAGCCATCATGCGGTAGCGCTGCCAGTGCAGCAAGGACGCTAAAGTTGAGGCATCGAGGTCAGACTTTGTGCCAGCCGCGGTCGTTGGCTCTGTCGGCTGCACGACGTCGGGGCTCTTCAAGGATGATGGAAACCTGGGGCGGCCAAGATCAGCCCCCCTGGTCCACCCACACCACATGCATTCTCGGACCAGCCAGTTGTCTGGCCGGAGTCGACTTCTTGGCAACCCAAGCTCTTGAAAGGGAAGTTAGGGAACAGCCAGTTTCCGTGGATGCCGTGCCGAGAAGTGTAGCAAAAGCCGCTGCAACCCTGGCAAGAAGCCTGGTTGGACATCATTGGCGTGGCTTACGTGCAGGATTTTCTTCCCGATGAGCCTCCTCGACTTCGACGATTTCCAGTGTACCGGGAAGACAGAGTGACGGACTCGCAGCAGAGACTGTTGTGTACTATAGCACGTAGATTGCGATGCAGGCTAGCCTCCTGGCTTCGTCTCCAGCGTCGTGGACCTGGACCTCTGCGTGGGCCATCTCCCCTCACCGACCCGGGCCCAAAGATTCGTGCTCTCCACTTCACATATGCCCCCCAGGGCCCCAGTTCCACAGACAGGTTCGAGAGGAGGAGGGTCGGACTGGATCCTGAGATAACGTTGAGGAGGCAGCGCGCAATGGACAATAGGAGGGGCGGCCACTTTTTCGGAGCCATTTGCTAACGGCTTCAAGTGACAAGTTGCCCATTGGCCAACCAGCACAGCCCACGCTATCTGGGGGCTCTCAGGCTTTCTCAATCGCCCGGCTGGGGCGTACGCCTATGTCTCGGTGGCACGGTGGAGAGCAGGGTGACATCCCATTGCTGTGGTTCTCGTCTCCCCCAGGTCACGGTCGCTGGCGACGGGGTCTCGTCCAAATCCACTTCGTTACGACTGCGACTGCGACGACTTGCCCTTTCTTCGGCCGAATATGGGTTTGTACCCGTGCCTGGGTTCCTCGTTAGTGCATCATGCATACCGGAAAGCTGTCCGCAGCCAGCCCGCCTACCTCACCAGGTACCTCGTCCTCAGCTCGCCCAGACAGTATTAGTCCTCCGTACGAATACAGAGGAGTAGACTCAACGACGGGGAAGGTTTCGCTCGTTCCCGCTGGCCTGCCCTAGGACTTGGTACGTATCGAAGCACGACCAAAAGCCAAATCGCCTCCATCCCTCCCCCAAGTCGTATGCAACAAGTAACGGGGGTTGCTGCCAGGATAGCCTGCCATATCCTGTCCTTGCCAAGATCTGCGTCTGTCGCCCGTCGAGAGGGGGGCAAAGTTGGATAGACCAGCTTGATACTCAATCGGCCCTGGACCCTCATCTCTCCCTCCTTCACTTGTGTGTAATTTTCCATCGTCAACCAGGTGCAGCCTATCGGCTTTCCATGCATGACTGGATCCGCTTGCCGCCCTTGACAAGAACCCTTAGTCCTTGCGCGCCTGTTCCTGTCCTCTCGATCGGCATTTCCTTCATAAACCTCCCCCTTCCCCCGTCTGATCTGGTTTGTCTCGTGCTCGACAGCCATCCCTCTCCGTCATTTCTATTCTTCTCGGGCCCTCCTCCCGCAGCATTCATTTGTAACAGACACTATTTGTCTGTGTAACCCCACAAAGCCGCGAAATCCATCGCCATGGCTGCACCAGAAGGGGTTGTGCCTACCAAGGTCGAGGCCGATGAGAAGGCCACCGGTGGCCTTCCTGGCTACGACACCGGCAGTGGACAGGAGATCCGAGGTGATATCAGCGAGGACAGCTGGGCAACACGCAATGGTCTGAACTTGAAATCCTTCACGAAGAAGGATTACGGTCGCGGCATCGTCGAACTCGACCGCGCTATGAGCTCTCGCCATCTCCACATGATTGCCATTGGCGGTTCCATTGGTGCTGGTTTCTTCGTCGGTTCCGGTGGTGCTCTGAGCAAGGGTGTAAGTATTCCGTCTCTCTCGTTAATGGCGGTTTCTAACGCAGAAGCAGGGTCCCGGATCGCTCTTGATCGACTTCCTTCTCGTGGGTATCATGATGTTCAACGTCGGTAAGTCTGAAAATCCCTGTCAATCTTGAACACTGAAGAAGACTCTGACACGGTGCAGTGTACGCTCTTGGTGAACTCGCTGTTATGTATCCCGTCTCTGGTGGCTTCTACACGTACTCGACTCGCTTCATCGATCCTTCCTGGGGTTTTGCCATGGGCTGGAACTATGTCTTCCAGTGGGCCATCGTGCTACCGCTTGAGCTGACGGTCTCTGGTCTTGTTGTCGCATACTGGAATGACACTGTCAACGTGGCCGTCTGGATTACACTTTTCCTCGTCGTCATTATCATCATCAACATTTTCGGATCTATCGGATACGCCGAGGAAGAGTTCTGGTCGTCGTGCCTCAAGCTCGGAGCTACTGTCGTCTTCATGATCATCTGCCTCGTCCTTGTCCTCGGTGGCGGACCGTCTAGCGGTAGATACAGCGAGTACCAGGGTGCGAAGACCTGGTATGACCCAGGCGCATTCCGCAACGGTTTCAAGGGATTCTGCTCCGTCTTTGTCACGGCCGCTTTCTCGTTCTCCGGTACCGAGTTGGTTGGTCTTGCTGCCGCCGAGGCCAAGAACCCCGTCAAGTCGCTTCCCGGTGCCATCAAGCAGGTGTTCTGGCGTATCTCGCTCTTCTACATCTTGGGCCTCTTCTTCGTCGGTCTGTTGATTCCTTCCGACGACCCTGCGCTGCTCTCCGAGTCTGCCTACTCTGACGTCAAGGCCTCTCCTTTCGTGTTGGTCGGCAAGTACGCCGGTCTCGTGGGCTTCGACCACTTCATGAACGTGGTTATCCTCGTCTCTGTCGTGTCGATCGGTGTGTCTGGTGTTTACGGTGGTTCGCGTACCCTCACTGCCCTGGCCCAGCAGGGCTACGCGCCCAAGATCTTCACCTACATTGACAGATCAGGACGCCCTCTGCCTTCCGTGCTGGCGGTCATCATTTTCTCACCCTTGGCGTATATCAACCTCAGCGCGAGCGGCCCGGTTGTGTTTGACTGGTTGTTGGCTCTTTCCGGCTTGGCTGCGGTCTTCACCTGGGGATCCATTTGCTTGGCGCACATCCGCTTCCGCAAGGCGTGGGCCTACCACGGTCACACTGTCGACGAGATCCCGTTCAAGGCCATTGGTGGCGTTACCGGCTCTTGGATCGGACTTTTCCTCTGCTTCATCGTGCTTGCTGCTCAGGTAAGTGAAAATTCTTTTGACGGCATCAGAGATTTCATGCTAACAAGAATCCACAGTTCTACACTGCTATTGCACCCCCTGGCACGACCGAGCTCAACGACGCTGAAGGCTTCTTCAAGTCGTATCTCGCCCTCCCTGTTGTCATCGTGTTCTGGCTTGGTGGTTTCTTCTGGAAGCGCACTGGCTGGCTCCGTACCGCCCAGATGGATGTCGACACTGGCCGACGTGAGCTTGACTGGGACGAGATCCACGCGTACCGTGCACACATCGCCTCGCTTCCCGCATGGAGGCGCGCTCTCCACAAGGTGTGGTAAACGATTTTGGTGATTGCCAGAGGAGAAACCGCGTGTTGCCGCGTTCATGTATATTTTAATTAAAATCCTGCGTTGAGGATGACCGGGATGGGACTACCGTCCTGGTAATTGTTAGCAAAATGAAGATACCACAAGTGCTTTTACATCAAAACTGCGTCGTACTTGTATCCTAGCACGCGTTGGAAGTACCTATTGCAATCCATGGTCTGACTGGTTGCTGGCTCGGACAACAACAAGGGGATTGTGTGTGTATTCCGCCGTAAAACGCTCAAACAAAGAGATCTGGTTGGCATCTCTGGAGCTGTGGATTATGGCGCAGTTATAAGCCCAGAAGCTGTGCGGCCAACCAAGAGAATGCCAAGGGCTAGTGCGTGCCTTATCTAGGAGAGCAGCGGCAGTTCAGCAGTGGCCCTTGCCAACAGCAGCGATAACACAAGGTAGGTAGGCGAGCGTTGTTGGTGAAGATAAGGACGACCAGCCCAGAAGAGCAGGTGATGCCCGATTGTCGGACAGCGGTAACTGGAGATGGTTGGTCCGGATTGTTGGATATCTCTCGGCGTAGGGGTTTCATAGTCAACTGATAGGTCTTGGGAAGAAGTCCTAGCCGGATTCAGTGACCCATCCCGAGGAACTGACAGGGTCAGAAGAACACCTAACAAGATCGGGATGCGGTATCGGGCGGCAGCAGGGTGGTTATGAGGGTCTGTGGGGATTTCTGGATTGCTTGATCGATCTGTTCAATAAGACAATCAGATAGATGTTGTTGCGGTGGTGAGTATTAGACGTTTCTGTTAGAGGTCGTTCCCGTCCTTGTTAAAGGCAGCCGGGCGGGCAATGGCGAAGTCGAACGGAGTATCCCCGGGCCGGAAAGGTTTGATGGAATGGAATGGAATGGAATATTCCCAGGTTTTCGAGGGAAGGAACAATTGCGTGAATGGCATACCAGGAAAGAGCCTTGCTCTGGTTCCTCCATCGTGGCCTTTGACCTTACAAAAAGATCAAAAAGACGGCTGTTGGGGTTCATTTAAACGACGCTCAATCTGCGTGACAGGGTGACAAGAACGCCTTAGCACACCATACATAGCGTTGACTGCATGTCATTTCGGCGCCCTTTGACACACGTCTCCCCACAACCGCCCCGCTGAAGAATATGTCAAGCCCCACGGCTGAATTTACTGAATTGCCTCTTCGGTAAGAGACAGGCATTTTTTACCTCATCCGCCGCTAGCATGCTTTCACTAATAGTGGCAATTGCTTCTGGAATCTTGTTGTGGCATTTTTAAGATGAGAGGACGCCGTGCTTCAGCAGAACCTGACTTAGTACCGAGCATGAAAGCATCTACTAGCCCAGTATTCCAGAGATGACTTTCACTGCACTGCTGTCATTACTTTAGGTAATGTAATCCCATCATCAAGCATCTTTACAAAACTCGCCTTCATGAGATCTGTTTGACTAGCTCATGTTTCCTCCCACTCGAGCGTCTCGAGGCATGTCTACCCTGATGAAGAGCCCATCTGTATGGATGCCTTGGAAAGCGTCGTGAGGCCAGTCTACAAGGAAGCAATGCATTCTCGAGGTACTACTCATTCGGGAATATGTTGAACTTACATGAGACGAACATAAGAATCTACTGAGGAAACTTTGATGTGTGGAATACGTACTATTTAAGGTATGCGAAACAAGCAAGACAAAGGTGCATCAAGAGTACTCTCTGCAGGATGACAGACATACCAAAACATGTAACATGACCTCACATAGGATTATCAGCTCTGAATGAGAATCACATCAAATTACTATCCTTTCCTCGGGGTTGCATTTTGTTCTTCTTACTCACCTCTCCCTTAAGGTACATTCAGCGCGGGCGTCAAACGGCAGAGGGCCGTCCGGCAGGTACAGAAAGTGGGGCGCGGTGCTCGGCCATGTGGGTCACCTCAGCCGCAGTGCGCCCCCGAGTTTTGCGCAGCGGCGCACAACTCACCACGGCCATTCCCCCTTCAAAGCTGAGCATCTCAATCTGATCATCTCACCTATCCCCAAGCTCCTCATCTACCTCACTTTCGAATCTGATCCGTTCGATGCAACGTCTGAACATCGACTTCAATCTTTTGTAATCGGCTTCAGCTTACCTTACCTCGCTGTACAGATAGGGCCTGCACACAGCGCGCCACAATGAGCCCCGCGCCACCCAATAAGGGCAAGGCTCCCTTCAACGATGATGGAGACCTGTCCGACGGCTCGTCTCATCCAAGCGATGCCGAGGACGTTGATGCCAAAGTCATCTCCCCTCAACTCCAAGAAGGGGACAAAAGGCCGGATCCGACTGTTTCCTCTCAACCCCCATCTCGAGGCTCTCTGCGGGCCACCGAAGAGATTCAAGGCGAGAAACCTGTCAAACTAGAACGACTTTCACCAGATCTGAAGCGAGGAATCAGCACAGACTCTGCCCCATTTGATGCCGATTTTACTCATTCGGGAACTAGCCAGAAATCCTCTTCGCCCTTGGATTTGACGTTGAAAAAGAAAAAAAAGAAGGTCAAAGATACGGACGTCCATGGGCATGGCGCAGCTTATGACGCGCTGAGGGAAGACGCCATGATTCGCTTATACCCAGACCAAAGAGTCAAGTCAGAATTCTCACAGAATGATATCACGATCCAGCTTGGACGAACCCCCGGCCACCCATCGCTCGAGAGATCAAGCGCGGTGTCTGAAGGCGACACCGAGGGCAGCGCGTCCAATGCAGAGGATGAGCCAGAGAATCAGAACGAAGACCCTACGAAGAAGGTCCAACGCCTCATAGTCGATAGGGTTATGTCATCATTCATGAGTTGGCTTGACATAAAGAAGCAAGTCAAGCAAGGGGGGGAGGAACACGAGAGTGAATCGCAAATAGAGGAAGCCTTGTTGGAAGCTGCCCCTGGCGGCGATGCTGCATACGATGCCCTCCCCGAGTCCAGTCCAACAATGTTGGCAAGTGTTTCTACTAATGCGGCGAACTCTTCAAGAGGACATGAACCCAGCTTCATCTATAGTCAAGCTCCAGCTCCCAGTGCTTTTGCACCCGTCACTCGCCACATGAACTCGAACATTGCTCTCCCACCGCCGCCCCCGCGAGTCTCAAAGAAGGGGCCACAAACAGGAGCACAAATGTCAAACTATGGAGGGGTTTCAATACGAGGACCACCGTCGCCAATGGGACGAGGATCGCAGTTATCTGCGACCTATGTGCCAAGTTCTGATTCAACGGTAGATTTTGCGGGGATACCACCACTGGCATCAGCGACAGAACCGCCAGTCCCAGCACTAATACCACCGCAGCAGGTGCAGTCGCGATCAGGCTACACTGCTAGGGGGGCAAGCGAGGTCGAAGAAGTCTCACGTTCTAGCAAACAGAGTGCTGCTCCAGAATCGACATCTCGATCCTTTGTCTCGGCAGCGTGGCCAACTCTAGGATCACCCGCACCTTCGCACCTGGTAGGAGCTTCACGGCAAACACCGGCAGAGAAAGGACCGGCTGGCATCAGCACAGTGACTATGCACACAGGCAAAAGGGGGCGTAAGGAAAATTCGTCGAGAAAACACGACAGGTCTGCAGGCGAGCGAGCGCGGGGGGAAGAAGAGGAAGAGGGCGATGGGAATCAAATGCCCCGAGCGAAATTATCCAAAGTCCAGGAAGACACCATTGTAGGCGCAAAACTTGCGTGTCCCTTCTTCAAGCACAACCCGAGGAAGTACAAATCCCAGCGACCATGCTGTGGACCAGGCTGGGACCAAGTCCACCGTATCAAGTACGTTTATCCTCTTTTCTCACATGAGCTCAACTCACTGCTAACGACCCGTCAGGGAGCACATTTATCGCAAGCACTCTCTTCCAAAGTTCTCGTGCCCGCGATGCTCGCAGTCTTTCGAGACCCAACTGGCTCTGCAAGCCCACGCCCGCTCGCTGGACGCCTGTGACGTATGCGAACCGGAGGTCTTGGATGGCATCACGCAGGATCAAGAGAAGAAGCTTCGTTCTCGGAAGAAGACGTCGGCCAAAGAACTCACCGAAGCGGAGAAGTGGATTCAAGTCTACCGTATTCTCTTCCCCGACGTGAGAGAGCGGGAGATTCCGTCACCGTGTAAGCTTATGCCCCTACCGATGGAAGCAGAGGCTGACTGTCATTCTTGCAGACCATCACGCAGAGGACGCCGAGACGAATCTGGGAGGCTACGAAGACTATCTTCGCCGTGAACTTCCACCGCTGGTCCGCCGACAGCTTGAAAAAGAGGTCGAGCGTGAGCTTAGTTTCGTTGAGGAAGGGATGAAGCAAAAGGTCATTGACATTGCTCGGAATCTCCAGCTCACGCTGTTCAAGGGCTATCAACAGCTTGAGAACCAAGAGCGAGGACTGCAAGACCCGCCGAGTGTTGATGCTTCTTCAAGCTCCGAGACGGGAGTGTCTTTCTTCACGGCGACGGACACTTCGCCGTCAACCATGACGACCTGCGGCACAACGCCAGAGATTCCGGATCCGTTAGACATATTTGGTGACCCCGCCATTCCGGACTTCGACTTTAACTTTCTTGCCGACATTCCCTACCCAGAGTCACAGTCGCCTTCCAAGGGACAGAATCTGGACTTGGGGTTCAATCAGGATTTTGCAACTCGAGAACCAGCTACGATCACCCCTGGAATGGAGATGCTCGGGGCACAGCAACATGATTTGCCATACTACGGGTTAGATGGCTACCAAGACCCAAATAGCCAGATAATAGACGCGAGCGTCCTGAGCTATGTTCCATGAGCTGTCGGGCTTGGTATCCTTCGGCCACCCTCTGGTCGCTTAGTTGTTCCAATGATGTAGTTCAAGATACCCAATTATTCTATCATCAATCTTCCATCAATAACAGACTTTACCTTGGATCAAAGGTAGTCGGTTCGTAACATGTCATAAAGCTGTCGTATTCAGCCTACGGGCATTCTTCAATGGACATTGGTTCAGTTCACTGCGGCCCCGGCGCGAACCCAAGGCACGGGGTCTCGGGGTGCATGTCCGGAGATAAGCGGGCCAGCCAAAGACCGGGAGCCGGGATTCTAGGAGCTTTCGAATTAAGGTTTATCTGCTTACGTTGATTGCATATTATGGGGCTATCACATAGTGACATTCCGCTTGCTTTCGTCCCGGTGCCCAATTTGTTCCCATCTATAGCCAAGTTACCCGGACGTATTGTTAATAGATGCTTACGTTGACTGCAGCTGAGCCAGCCGACACTGGAAGTAGATCCAAGTCCACCATACGTTGCACAGTCGTATATATAACGTCAGTGACCATGGACCGCATAGCAGGAGTCGGCGTCAAGTCCTGTAAACGTCTCAAGCATTTCGAAATCAAGCAAGATGGGTAGCGCATTGAGCAACATGTTTCCGCCAAAGGCCAGCTTCACTGAAGCAAATTTACCTGATCAGAGCGACAAGGTACCTTCCATATTCTATACTACTTATCCGTACTGGTTCAAAACTGACCTACAAAGGTGTTCATCGTCACAGGAAGTTCTGGTGGCCTAGGAAAAGAACTTACCAAGATTCTTTACCAGAAGAACGCCAAGATTTACATGGCGTGTCGGTCTGAAGCCAAGACCGCAGCCGTGATCAAGGAGCTGAAGGAGTTGTATCCCAATTCCCATGGCCACGCCGAGTACCTTCACCTGGATCTGAATGACCTGACGACAATCAAGCAATCCGCCCAAGAATTCCTCAGCAAGGAAACTCGGCTTGACGTCCTCTGGAACAACGCCGGCGTCATGACACCGCCTCCGGGTTCCAAGACTGCGCAGGGCTACGAGCTGCAACTAGGCACCAATAATCTCGCTCCATTCCTGTTTACACATTTTCTCCGCCCGGTGCTGTCTGGCACGGCCAAGTTTGCACCCAGAGACTCCGTCCGAGTTGTCTGGGTATCTTCTAGCACGGCGGCCATGGCACCGAAGCCTCCAATCGACTTCAGCAATATGGATTATGCAAAGGATGAGAGTCAGATGCAAAAGTACGCGAGAAGCAAGGCTGGTAACGTCTTGCATGGAACGGAATTTGCGAGAAGAGTATCTGGAGAAGGGATCATCAGCGTTGTAAGTTGGTTATCATCCCTGAGCTGATGAATGTATGCAGCCGTTGACAGCGACGGCAGAGTCTTGACCCCGGAGTTTTCATGACGGATTTGCAGCGTACCATGCCGCTATGGCAGCGGATCATTGTGGTAAGTTCTGCCCAGAGAACTTCGTAACTCCTCGGTCTCTAAACACCTCTCGATGTGTCTACTAGAAATTCCTCGCGCATAAGCCAATCAATGGCGCATACACCGAGCTCTTTGCCGGCTTGAGCCCTACGATTACGGAGAAGAACAACGGTGGCTGGGGTAAGTTGCTCTGATTTTGAAGTGTTGTATCCAATGCTGACGACGGTTTTAGTCGTACCCTTTGGTCAACTCGCAGCTGGACGAGAAGATCTGCGCGACAAGGAGCTAGGCAAGAAGTACTGGGAGTGGACGGAGAAGCAACTCAAGCCATATACTTCTTGAAGGATTGCTGTCACCGTATCATGATTTATCATGTTTCTCTTTGTATCCCTTTCTCGCCCTCTCTATGTATAACAACCAGAACAAACCTTTCTAGACAAACTTGCGAAATTCGTACTAAGTACACATATGTATTACGTATTGTCATTCACATGGCTCCCCGCCCCCTAGCAACCCCGCAAACTCCTCCACCAAGCGCTGGTCTGTATCATGCCGTCTTTATCATCTCTTATAACTCCTTTCCATTTCTCAAGGAACCATGGCATCGCTTCCCAGCTGCGGCCATCCCACGGCACACCGTTTCCACGTCCATGCATGGAGCCCATTGCGGACCCCCAGCATCGAACTCCCCCGCCCAGCATGTCGATACAGAGGTCGTCCTCGTCTATCTCCGGTGAAGTCCCGGAAGCGAGTACGATGGCGTTGGAGCGGAAAGATGGCCAAGGCATCAAGTCGAAGCAAGGATGATGAGCCCGAGAGCGCTGGATGAAAGTCGGCCTCAGATCCGGGGTGATCTTCTCAAGAGCTGCGTCATCGTCGCTCGAGTCGTTGTCGTGACCGCTCAGGCTGCTATGTGCAATGCTGTAGAATAGTGACTGCGCGTTCTCGTCCATCAAATACTCTGTCGTTATGCTGAGCTGAGCTGCTATCGCACGCATTGCCGACGCGTACGATATTGGACTTAGATGAATGACATTTCTGGAGGGTCTGGGATAAGTTGGCGGGAGCCATTCAAGCGCCGGCTGGTCGGTCGGTGCCGTAAGATGAGCCAGTATCGTAAGGCCAGCAACGACGACCTGCCGCATATCGACACCACCGCATCGCGCTTTCACAGCTGCGACCCACTCACGCGATGACAGTGACGAGGCACTCTCGTATAGTACCGGATCCATGGAGTACCCCATGGCTATCAACCCGTACTTGACAACGTCACGAAGTGTAAAGTTCTCCCTCACCATGATGCCCCAGCCTTTCTTATTTTCATGTGCCGAGAGGGATAGTAACGCCTGGTAAATATCCGAAGCTGTAAGGTTGCATGAAGCGGTATACGCCTCCACCTTGTTATTTGATGACTCGGCTACCGCGTAGCGAGTAGGAGGGCAAATCGAAACCTCCTTGACGCAGTCTTTCGCTGCTGGTTCTTGCGTTACCCACGCAGCGGCGACCATCTGCTCCAAATGCCGAACTTTGGTCTTTTGCCTCGCGCCTAGTTTGGAGGTAAGAACAATACACCATATGCGAGTTATTGGGTTACATACGGTATGCCCGCTGAGCGTCGGCATTCTGGCGCTTCCGGCGGTCCTTCGCATCAGGCATCTTTCTGCGGGGCATTTTGACGTGGTTGTCACAATAGCTGAACCTGGACTACCAACTGAATGAGTTTTGCAATCGTTGAAACACGTACGAAGGAGGATAGAGCTGTATCTCGACAGATTGACGTATTCAAATTTACTGTTAGAATGCTGTACAAGTGGCTTGACTGGAGGAGGTTTAGTGAGTTTGCGTCGCGGACTTTGAGTACAACCTAATCTCCGCAATGTCCGGGTGCCAAGTTAGGTGTATTCGAATGCCTCGAACCAGAAAGTTCAACACTTACCACGGAATTTTCGAAACAAGATGCATAGATCTGGAGTCTGAAGATATCGATGTTCATTACTTGCTCAAAGTAAGTAAACTGCTAGATTCTCGACAGCTTTATTACCTAAGTCACAATAACCATCCAATCAACTACAACTTCCCCTTCCGGTTATCTTCGCCAAGCTTCAGAATAGACGCAAGATTGTTCGCCTCAATGACTTCAAAAAGCTCCCCAAGACCAGCAAGACGACGTTTCTCGCTCTCTCTGCGGAAGAAATCCTCCGCTGTCTTGATTCTGTTTGGGTGAATCTCATCCAGGAGCGCGTAGTCACGTTGAATGACGCCTTTGTTGCCCCCAGAGTTCGTCCACATTGTCCAGAAGCCTGAGAAGTTGTCTCTGACAGACATAGTTGCCGGGTCCGTGGGATCAGCGTTGTAACCCGCGGGCTGGCTGGAGATTGGGAAGTTGTCGAAATAGACGTCCATGGGAGTGTCAATGTACTGGGCTGGCTTTCCCGTAGCCTTTTCAAACGCCTTTGCGAGGTCTTCGTAGTGAATATGGTCGATGGCTACTTCTAGGTCCATTCCATCCGATCTTTCGGGGTGGTCGAAAAGCCAACGGGCATAGTATTCGCAATCATCAAGGGCTACATGCGGGACTGCGCCAGCTCCAAGAGGCACTCTCCATGTAACAATCCCGTTCTCGACCCGTGGCGTCATGATTGTCTTGGAAGAGATCGTCATCTCAATGTAAGGGCCGGTAGTGAAGATGGCGACACCCATGTCGTTGCTCTTTCTCTGCTGTAGCATCCACTCGGCCAGACGGCCCTTGCCGTCGTAGTGTCCGCACCGAAACTTTGGGTTATAGCCACTCTTCTTATAACCGTAGTCGAGATTTCCAAAGACGAAGAACTTGATTCCGAGCTCCACCGCTAGCTCGTAGCAGCGGATCGTCCAGTAGGTCTCTGCCTTCTCGCCGCAGTTGAAGCCATCGATGTTGATGAAAGCACCCCAGCAACCGGCGAATCCCTTGCGGAGGTCATTCTCGTTGGCAAAGGTTCCCTCAACAAACTCAACCTCTCCGAGCTTCGAGAGTTCTTTCGTCCTCGCAGAGCTGGAGTCACGCGTCAATACGCGCAGACTGTAGCCTCCATCCTTGGCAAGACCTCGACAGACGGGAAGGCCTTGGGCACCAGTGGCACCAATGACGAAGATGCGGCGGTTTGCCATATTGGTGAGATGTTTGAGTGACTAGAGAATTATGAATTGCTTTTTACTATGGTGGTCCTTGCCGATTATCGCAGTCTATGGCTACTCCTCTCACTGCAAGGTGCCATGGGCATTTTCTTATAAGCTCCCTCGCGAGCGATCCGTCTCTGCCTCCACCATTCGGATCGCCTACGTAATTTGGCCTGTTGTTCATAAGCAACGTGAAGTCAGAAGGCAAGCTTGGACTTGCTCTCGCTGATTAGTTATTCGATCAACAATATATGATTAGTGATCCTTCTCGTTCACCAATGAAGGCGGTATTTTGGAAATATGACTACAGCAAACAAAGCACGGGGTTCAATGCTTAAATGGCACTTATAGCCTTCTTTTCGAGCTATCGTTAGGATAGGAACATAATAAAGGCTGTGGATCTTCCTTCTCCAATGTCCTTGCTAAGGCTGTTACGCTTTTACAGTTGTATGTGCACTGCGATCCCACGAACCTTGGTGATTGAAGCAACCAGTTGGACTCGTTTGCAAAGGGGATACAAACATTCAAACTACTCAATTCGTTTCGCCGAGTATTTGCCTTGGAAAGGGCGTCAGACACGTGATGCCCAAACGCTTGATCAGTAATCGGATCTGACGATGGCTTAACTGGTGGTGGCTGTAATCTTTAGCTTACCAATCTTCGGAGACTAACTCACGGTAACTCTCGAGAAAGTTGGAATATGCCATCGGCTCCATATGCGCTTAATAGGCGGGAGTAGTAGTAGGTGTGGTAAACTTCGTCGGCTAGGGTACATGTAGTCATTCTGAGCCGAGGGAGCTCGGTGAATTAGGGCAAAGCGCAGGAAGATTCACCATTAGTGTCGTCAGGGAGCTTTGTCATCTGTTGTGTGTCTGTTCGCAATAGGTCCAGCATCAACGCGCTTTCAAATTTGGCAAAACTACTCTCCCAGCAAACTACTCTAGGAACCTAATCGACGCAGACTTCATGTTGAAACCAGGCAACCACCTTTGGCTCAAGATCTCTTGAAGCACTCGATAATGCCATGCGGATTGCCCGGAGATGACCAGAACTCGACTCTTCCCAGCCCGGCCTTGGCGAGAACATCTTTCCACACCTGTCTCGGCCGTTCCTTACCGCCGGCGCTCAGCATCAAAAGATCAATGGCTGCCGTATGAGCCGAGGGCGGGTTTGGTGTAATTTGCTCCGCGATCAACAGCCGACTATCCTCCGCCATGGAGCTGGCGATGCAAGCCAGGATCTCAACTACCAAGTCATCACTGTAATTATGAAGACAATAACGGATGTAGTACACAAGTGTGCCTGTTTCATGTCAGTCATCGTTCTGGAAAAGATAGAGATACTACTGGCGAACCTTTGACTGGCTGCTCCTTATGAAAATCAATGGCCATCAACTTCATTCCCAGTGAAGCAACAGAATCCTGAGATTCAGCGACCTCGCTAATGACTGTGTCAAGATCTTGAAGAACACAGCGATTCAATGGTATGCCATAACTGTCGCAGATGACTTTCGTGGCATGGCCGCTTCCGCCCCCAACATCGACGAAAAGGGGCCTGTCTGCTGGCCCTGAGTGTGCGGCATCTGAGATCCAGGAGAAGTCATAGACGCCGCAGACCGGAAGAAGCATTCCCATTGCCTTCATTGAACGAAGGAAAATCCTCTTGTCGTCAGGATTCTGGAGAGACACCTCCCAAACGTTCTTCTCTGGCTGGCCATACGCAAAGGTGTACGGAACGTGTGTTCGGGCTCGTGGTTCTTGTAGCCCGTAGGCATGAAAGTACTTCTCGAAATGGGCGTATGAGACCATGCCATGTACGAAGCTTACAGGTCAGTTACTTGTTAGGAGATTTGTACATTGCCATCATGAAGTACTTACACGATCCTGGTGAGATCCCCGTCTGGGTTGTCATTGATGAACATCTTGGACTTTTCAGTATGGGCCACAGCATCCTCACCGACTTGCTTCAGGATGCCTGTGGAGTTCAACATCCACGCGAGGCGAACTAGGACGGCAAAGTCAACAATGAATCCTCTATCTCGAGAGTGAGGAAGTTTGGTGGTAATCTTACCCAGCAGCTGCAGCTCACACCCAACACTACTAGCCAACTCCTTGTATGAGATTGAACCTTCTATTGGAATCTTTTGGAAGACTCCCCAGGCATTGAAGAGCTGTTTTGCCGTCATTTCGCTGACCTTGATGCAATCATTCATAGCCCTCTCCCGTGGAGTGTCTTCGAGCTTGTCGATGATGGCTTGTGCTCTTTGGATGATACTAG